AAAACTAGCTGTTTGTGCGGTGTTGTTGTGCGAACCTATTATTGGGTTGGGGAGAATGAGTCGGCGCTAAACTTTAAAGGGACTTTTTGCACACATAAAGCCTTCTTTAAACATACGTTTGGTTTCATCAAAAGGATCCACTATTTCTCTACAAAATCACTTTTGAGAGATTCCACAAAGCTTTTCTTTCGTGGAGTTTATGGACTCCCAAACACAGCTAGTCAAAATGGCAAAGAGCCCGACTCATCATTTGAACAGTTTCTTTCACATAAACCTTCTTTGGTGTTTATATAAAAAAGATAGAGCACATTCAATTACTTAAGTTGCCAAATTTGCAGGAAGATCCCACCAATGGTTTTTTCTAGATCACAGTTTGTAGTTTTTGTGAAAAAATGGCTTTTTCTTGAGCGGAGGTGCTGTTTGAATTTTCTTTTAAATGTCATTTTGTAGAGAATTAGTTAACCATTCTACTCATATCAAACGCATATTATTTGACGAAGTCGAATAGAAGTTTTAGACATTTTTTTGATTTTCGGCGCCGACTCATTCTCCCCAACCCAATAGATCAAAATAGGAACCGAATTGGAACCGTAAATCAATTGTAAATCAATTGTAAATCAATTGTAAATCAATCAATTGTAAAACAATCAATCAAAGGAGACAGTTTTTTTTAAAATGGAAAGAAAGTTTGGCTAGAGTTGGACTCGAACTTGGGGACAAAGATGTAACAGGTTCTGTAGTCTAGCAGACTAACCACTAGACCACCGGAGCATTTGTCGAGGCAGCATTTGACCATTTTTAAGGACTCCGAAATTTAGATATCTACTGCAAAAACTAAAAATGGATCGCCATGGCGACTCTAAAAGATGGATTTGGTCTCAAGTCAAAAGCCCAGCTTGGCCAGCAAAAGGCCAGCTCCCTTGCCAGAAATCTTTGGAAATCTTGTTAAAAAGTGTGCTTTTTCGATTTTCTTTATTTAATTGTAAAAGCTAAAGTCTTTATCTTCTTTATCTCTACAAATTTGGTTCCTTATTTCTCTAAACTTCCTTACGTCGAGCATGCTTTGTAAAGAATTGGATAAAATAGATTCTGCCAAAGTTAGTGGATGGAGTTAGTGGAGAGGATTACGTCGAAACATAGTTACAATTTTTGAACATTCAGCTATCAGAAATTTAGATTATCTTTAAAACTATAGAAGATTTACTATTTTGCAGAAGCTAAAGCTTGCAAGAAAGATCTGAATCGGTTAGGCAACAACTTCTCGCAAGATTTTGAGTAGAGTGTCTACCTCTACCCCTCAAACAAATAACGATTTAAATCAGTTTGCTCAAATAATTTTTTTACTTGAAAAACGTGTAAAATAAACGTCAAATAAGGCTTTTTAAAAAGCGCTTTAAAAATTGCGAGCTATTGCTGCTGAGCCATTGTCTTTTTCGAAATAAACAAGCATAAACAATAATTCGAAATAAACAAGCCCGTTGATATTCCACCAGGAAGACAACGTCACTTTGTGCCCATGATAATCCGGCTTTGGAGTTGGAATTGGCATTTGACCCTTGCTGAGCCATTGTCTTTTTCGAGAAGTTTAATCGAAGTGAATCCACTTCTCATCCATTGTCTAGATATTCTCAAAAAGTGGCTTCTTTTCGGCTTGAGAAGCAAGAAATGGCTGATCGAAACGCGTGTTTTCAGATTCTCGATGCTCAATTCATGTGGAACCAATCCTTCATTACGATTGGTTTTTCCGATTATTTCCAAATGGCGGACAATTGTTGATTGATCGCATTGGAGATGTGTGGAAAGCTCTCGAACAAGATCGGCATGGTTTGCATTGGATCGGCTTCAATAAGCTGTCAATTCATGATCGATCGCTGCCGAGCGATGTCCATGTGGTCCCTCTTCAAGAGATTCAATACCTTCTCGGAATTGAGCAAACCAAAGCTGGCAGGATCTTTCGGTACATAGCTTGTTCCCCAAAAGCGGCACAGAGATCGCGAGATGTGATTCGGCAGCGTTTTTGCCCATCTTGAAATCGTAGAGAAGCCACGAGCGCACAACATACTTTTGACCCGCCATGATCTAAAGCAAATTTCAATTAAAAAGAAGTGAAAGCTCTGTCTTAGAAAAAGCGTAAAAACAAAGTAAATATCGAAGAGTACAAATATAGAAAAGAAAATCAAATAAGATTTCCAGCTTTTAAAAAATAGAACATTTTATATCGAGTTCTTTTGCATCAATCTAGTAGCATTTAGTAGAATTGCTAAATTGGTAAATCGATTTTGCAAAATTGCTAAATGATAGACGACTAAATCCGGTTTAGCAAAATTGCTAGATGGTAAACCGATAAATGTTAGGTGGTAATGTTAGGTGGTAGTGTTAGGTGGTAGTGTTAGGTGGTAGTGTTAGGTGGTAGTGTTAGGTGGTAGTGTTAGGTGGTAGTGTTAGGTGGTAGTGTTAGGTGGTAGTGTTAGGTGGTAGTGTTAGGTGGTAGTGTTAGGTGGTAGTGTTAGGTGGTAGTGTTAGGTGGTAGTGTTAGGTGGTAGTGTTAGGTGGTAGTGTTAGGTGGTAGTGTTAGGTGGTAGTGTTAGGTGGTAGTGTTAGGTGGTAGTGTTAGGTGGTAGTGTTAGGTGGTAATGTTAGGTGGTAGTGTTAGGTGGTAGTGTTAGGTGGTAGTGTTAGGTGGTAGTGTTAGGTGGTAATGTTAGGTGGTAATGCTACACGATGGTATAAAAACGTTTCGAGAAACTCTTGTTTAGTACAAGAAAAATGGCCGCGAAGTGAGTGCACCGACTGTACATCGAAATACGAACAACTCACTTTGCATTTTTCTTGTACTAAACAAGAGTTTTTCTAAAAGTTCTTTGTGCAACCGTGTAGCCCAATTGAAAGGCTACATTTTGACACCGGACTCGCAAAAAGCGAAAGCCCTGGTAAATGACAATTCCATTTGGCGCAATCTTCATGATCTCGAGAAATCCGCTATACCTGCGACCAAACGTTGATAGTACAACAAAGGAAATCTTTGCACCCTATGCATATACATATACCTTTGCATGAAATTGGCTGATTCGGCTGACCTTTCGATAGTGAAATTAGTTTCCTACCAAATGACATTAGAATCAGCCGAATTGAACAATTGGTGGACCCCGGCTCTGTCATTCTGCAATTAACAGTACATTGCCACTTGCAGTATCAGCCTAGAAATAAAGTAAATATCCAAGAGTACAAATATAGAAAAGAAAATCGAATAAGATTTCCAGCTTTATAAAAAATAGAACATTTTATATAGAACGAGATTTTTTTTTTTTACATCAACCTAGTATGGATAGTTTGGATGTTTAAAACTTTATCTAGTATCGTTTTATCATTTAAATAGACGTTTTTAAACAAAAATTGAGTAAACAAGACAATGATGAGCTTTATTGTCTCATGTTCTCAAGTGTTTAGTTTAAAAACTAACTTATAAGTGTGAGTGTACCAAAATTTACTGAGCTCACAAGTTCAGTAAACTTTGGTGATGATAAGCATGATAAAAAAACTATAAATAAACTTTTCTAAGGTCGTTTTTAGATGGAGAATCCGAATTTGCACTTAAAATTAGGGGTTTCCTGAGAAAAAGTGCCACTTTTCACCAAATCTCATAAATTTATAGGGGGTGATTCACTGAAATCGTCTATAACTCAAGATCTAAGAGTCGAATCGACTAGCGGTTGCTTTTATTAGAATCTACACAAAATTTGACTTTAAAAATGTATCATTTGTTTTGTAGACTTAGCGATAAAAACATAGAGAAAAGTAGGGTTTTTGAGGATAGTACCATCCTCAATTCTATTTTGTAAATTTCTCAAGATACCGAAATCAAGAAAAAGATATCTATGAGTATTATTCGAAAGCTGAAGATCTCCTCTACATTTTCATATAAAAAGCTTTTGAATTTGTCCAGCTTTTGGGGCAAATTGACTGCACAGAAGAAGAGGTGGCCAAAAAATGGAAGGGTGCCTTTGGATCAAGTTTTGGCTGCGCTCAAATTGAGTTAACCGTTTGATGTTTGGCCAATAGATATATCAATACAACTTTTTTTTAAATATAACAATTTCAGAGCATCTTTTCTTTTTTTTTCTGGGCGCTTACACCATAAAACTTGAGGAATAGCTAAGCTGAAATGTTTTTTTTTTCGGAAACGACCTCTCCCTTTGTGCAGTCAATTTCCCAAAAAGTTGAATGAATGCAAAAACTTTTTTATTCCAAAATGTAGAGGAGATTTTCAGCTTTCGAATGATATATAACACCCATATACATCTGTTCGATATCATGAGAAATTTACAAAATAGTACAAACGCGCATTCATAACTGGACAACCCAATAAATTCTGCCAGTTGCCAATGTTAAACGATGATTTCAAATATAAAAATGTATTTCTGAATATTGTTGTTGGCCATCGTTGGCCATAAGCATTGTTTGCTAACTTCAATCAGCATTTGATTGTTTATAAAAGTTTTGCTAGAGTTATAGCTTCAAAATTGAAGTTTCAAAGGGTTAAACATCCAAGTTTCTAGGTTTTCTTTGAAAAATCGGAAAATAAAACACATTCTTCATATTCTGTGTTCACATCGAAGCGATACTCGTACTCTTTTCGACCCAAAAAATAACGAATTCACCTCTCCGAACACCAAAAATCCGATGATAACGAAGCAATTTTTAGATTTCCGGACCTTTAGCACTGAAATATCCAAATGTGAGCCTAAATAAATAAATCTAAATAGCCCAAATATCTAAAATCTTCACACTTTTTCGTTTTCTTTTTCGTTTCGTTAAGGGAAAGAGTTTCTCTTTCCAATTCAACAGAAATCCAATCCAACAGGCGCTTTGTGTTTCTTTAAATGACACCCAATCTACCGTATCCTAAAACCAAAAAATTGTTCACTGACGTAGCTCTAGGCTTTCCGCTGAAGCTCTTCATTCATTTGTAGTTTTTCTTTCGTTTTTATCAACTTTTCCAAATGGAAACTTCTCTACGTCAAAGAAAAAAGGAAGGAATCACAAAAATCGTTGAGGATTTCGATATTTTCACGAAAGTTGTCGACAATGTAAAAGAAGAGAAACGAGCCGGCGGTGGATTGTGTGAGTTTAGAGAGATTTTCGGTTTGTTCACTCTTTTCGACACTATTTTTCGATAGTTTATAAAGATTTATAAAGAAAATAGGGACAATTTTGATTTTTTTACTTTCAGTGTCAATCATTTGCTTCGTTATCATCGGATTGTTGGTGTTCGGAGAGGTGAATTCGTATTTTTTCGGCCGAAAAGAGTACGAGTATCGCTTCGATGTGGACACAGAATATGAAGAGTGTGTTTGATTTTCAATTTTTCAAAGAAAACCTTGAAATTTGGATGTTTAACCTTTTGAAGCTTCAATTTTGAAGCTTTAATTTTGAGTCTTGGATTTAGAGTCTTCAATTTAGAGTGTTCAATTTAGGAGCTCTAATTTTGAGTCTTTGATTTTGAGTCTTGGATTTAGAGTCTTCAATTTAGAGTCTTCAATTTAGGAGCTCTAATTTTGAGCCTTCATTTTTGAGCCTTCATTTTTGAGCCTTCATTTTTGAGCCTTCAGTTTAGAGTCTTCAATTTTGAATCTTTAATTTAGAAGCTTTAATTTAGAGTCTTCAATTTAGAGCCTTCAATTTTGAGGCTTCAATTTTGAACCTTCAATTTAGAATCTACAATTTCGAAGCTTTAATTTTGAAGCTTTAATTTAGAGCCTTCAATTTTGAGGCTTTAATTTTCAGTCTTCAATTTTCAGTCTTCGATTTTGAGTCTTCGATTTAGAGTCTTCAATTTTGAGTCTTCAATTTTGAAATCTTTAAACCATAATCTTACTTCGCTTAGAACGCCACTCCTTGAATTCGATTTGGTTGTGGCGACTCCATGCAACTCTCTGCACATTCAAAATAGCGCCGAACAATCAAACGGAATTTTTCCTGAACAAAATCCAATTAAACAATCACCGACGAGGTAAAGAATTTGGGAAAATTTGAAAGGAAATTAATCTTTCAATCTTTAATCTTTCAATCTTCAACCTTTCCATCTTTCAATCTTCAATCCTTCAATCTTTTAGTCTTTCAATCCTTCAATCTTCAATCTTCAATCCTTCAATCCTTCAATCCTTCAATCTTTCAATCCTTCAATCTTCAATCCTTCAATCTTTCAATCTTTCAACCTTTCAATCTTCAATCCTTCAATGAAACCTTCAGATTCGAATTCACTCCTGAAGAGCAATTGTACTGGACAGTTTTGCGGCACGCTCACGAGAATATGAACAAGAATGCGATGAGGGGATTGGAAGAGGTTTGAGAAGAAGAGAAGAAAAGTAGTAAGTGCACAAATTTGGGTCTTTTCATTATGAAAACCTATCAAACTCAAAGCCAAATCGATTCTTTTTCACATCTTTATCATCATCGATCGATTTTATTATGGAAACATTTGTAAATACCTAATTTATAAAAATTGATCTCAAGAGTTTAAGCATAATGCCGTCTAAAGGATTTGTTTTTGTTTTAAAAGATCCAGCTTTCTGCTAAGACCAAGCTTTCCACTAAGACCAAGCTTTCCACTAGGACCCAGCTTTCCACTAAGACCAAGCTTTTCATTAAGACCCAGCTTTCCACTAAGATCCAGCTTTCTGCTAAGATCCAGCTCTCCACTAAGACCAGGCTTTCCACTAAGTTCCAGCTTTCTACTAAGACCAAGCTTTCCACTAAGACCCACCTCTCCACAAAATCCGTTTTCAGTTACAATACATTGATGACGATATCGAGGACAAATTAGAGCATCTAGCTGATCAAAAACAACAGCACGAATTGGAAGCGATTAAAGAAGAACGAAAGAAGAAAGGACATAGGGAGAGTGCTGGAGGAAATGTGGTGAGTTCGAATGATAATTGTTTTGAATTAGTCCAAGAAATCAAGAATTCAAGAATCCGAGTGAACTCAAGAAAGTCTGTGGTAGAAGTAAGCAGTAAGCTGAAGCTATATTCACACAAACCTTTCAGGTATTCATGATTGGAAATGGAATGGGCATGTTCCAAATTGTCGCCAATAATGGAGTTGATGAAGGTAAGGGCAAAAGAAAGCCTTTAGCTGAATATCCATAATTTCCAGGAACCGCTTGTCGAGTACACGGTAAATTCCCAGTTCGAAAAGGAAAAGAAGAGAAAATGGTGATGTCGATTGGGAATGGGATGAATATTGGTGGAATGTTCGCTCATGTTGAAGGAATGGGAAGTGGTTTGTTTACTGGAAAACCTATTACCGTATTCTCTCTAATAGTAGTGCACCCCGTCTAGGCGAGTTGACGACTATTGACTATAGGGTTAGGCTTAGGCTCAGGCTCAGGCTCAGGCTCAGGCTCAGGCTTAGGCTTAGTGCGTAGGCTAGCGGCTAGCGCCTAGCACTAAGTCTATTTGGGTTTGGGCTGAACCCCCATTTTTTGGATCTCAGCGAGTTCTGGGAGCTTAGGTTTAGGCTCAGGCTCAGGCTCAGGCTCAGGCTTAGGCTTAGGCTTAGGCTTAGGCTTAGGCTCAGGCTCAGGCTCAGGCTTAGGCTTAGGCTTAGGCTTAGGCTCAGGCTTAGGCTTAGGCTTAGGCTTAGGCTCCATTCTAGTTAATCTATTTTGATTAACTAGAACGTCTTGAGCCTGATGACTGAAAAAAAGAAAAAAAAAGACGAAGGGAATTGAACCTTGGCTTTGAATTGAGCAGCTTTCCAGGCAGATGCTTTACCACTGGACTACTTTTACTTTATAACGTCTAGATAAAAAGATAGAGATAAGTTGAATGCTTAATGCTAAGGATAGAATGGGTTTTTCTGAATTCAGATAAACACAAGAAGCCAGCAAGAAGCTGCCATAGCCAGTTTGATAACTGATAACTAATCAATTTTGATAACTACCGTATTCTCTCTAATAGTAGTGCACCCTGGCGAGCCGAGTTGGTGACTATTTTACGGTTTCCAAGCTTTCACAGAAGCTCAAAACTCTAATCCCCCACTAGATCTCATCGTCAGCTACATTTTCCGATCCCACATCGATAGGTTCTGATAAGCGGTTCTTGAGATTTCGAGGAATTTAGGCAAAGCACGGGGTACTACTAGAGAGAGTACGGTAATCCATTTTTTTCAGCTGGCAACGTTTCACATCGAATCGAGCGTTTCACTTTTGGTCGACGAATCAATGGACTCGTTGCTCCGTTGTCCGGCGGTGAACAGATCTCGGAATCGGGTTCGTTTTGAAGATAAGATTTAGATTTATAATGAAAACATTTGTCAGTCCTTGTACTTTCTTTCTTCAAAAGCACTTTCTTCAAAAGAAACCCATTTTGGTGTCAATGGAAAAGTTGTAGAGAATCAAAAATCAAGCTTATATCCAAATTTTCAGAACGATTCAAAAACTGGTTTTCAAGAAATGCCAAATTTACGAATTTTCACAAAACTTGCATTTTAAGCGAAACTACTAAGTGTATCTTTTTTGGAAAATTGGCTATAAGCCTAATTTTTGATTCTCTACAACTTTTCTATTGACACCAAAATGGGTTTCTTTTGAAGAAAGTGCTCAAACTGGGATCTTCAGTCTCCATCTGCAGTCCTCGATTTTTGAGTCTCACACTTGTCTCACACACTTGTACTGAGAGTTGCTGGATAGCAAGAAGACCCTTAGTGCAATCAAATACAGTGGACAGTTGGGGAAGGTGAATGAATCTCTGAAGAAGAATAGGCCCTCCAAGTCAAAGATCGTTCTCATCGACGACAACGCGCGCCCTCATGTTGCAAAACTGACTCGCTCTAAAATAAATAGCCTTGTTTGGGAACTTTTGACGCATTCCCCATACAGTCCGGACCTCGCTCCTTTTGATTACTATTTATTCCGGATCATGAGTAGCTTGTGGGAGAGCTTGCGGGAGAGCTTGCGGGAGAACACTTCGATCCGGAAGAAGCAGTCAAAAATTGGCTTCGAAAGTTTTTCGATTCAAAAACAAAATCCTACTACGAAAGAGGAATCGGCAAATTGCCTGTAAAATGGGCAGAAGTCGTCAATAATAATGGAAATTGTTTGGAATGAATTGATGGTTTTATGTTGAAGAAATTTTAGTTCAAAGTCTCGTTCAGAGTTCCGTTTTCAATTCACCAACCTAATAAAATATAATAATTAATGAATCGTCATCTCAGACATGAAAATCCTTTCATATTCTCTTTTTAGGCAAAGATGTTTATCGATATTTCATCAAAGTTGTGCCAACTCGGATCTACAATGGACTCTTTGGCGGCTACACGATGGCTTACCAGTACTCTGTGACATTTTTGGTTAGTTTAAAACAATAGATTATTTGAAAAATTAGAAAAATTGGTACTTTCTCATTATACTCCCACAGCATCAATCCCATTATACCCATTTAAAAACAATTGTGGGGGTTCTTGACAATGTCAAGGTCCTTCTGACAGAAGTCTAGCCTTCTGACAGAACTCTCCAGACGTCATTTGTTCCCCGCGGGCGTAAATGAAACGAACCAGTAAAAGAAATGGAAGACGGCTATCCGCAAACCACGTTTCCTGCCTGATCCCAACCTCGGTTCTACTCGCTTTTCCTCAATGATACTCGATACTAAGAAGAATCATCCATCGAGGATTCTTCTTAGTATCGAGAAGCATTCAGTGACCGTTTACACATTCACGACGTAAAGCCAGCAGTGCTTTGCTTCGGAAAAAGTTTATGGCCTCATCCTCTATGGTGGGTAAAGAAAACATTAAAGCCGGCGGTGGTTGAAAATGAGAATAGAAAAATATTTGTTTCTTCTTTGGGAAGAACATGATTCGGATCAATGCAGAGTTTTGGTTTGGCAATTTTTTTAAATCTGTGGGGGATAACGGGATTGATGCTGTGGGGGTATAATGGGAATGATGCTGTGGTGGGGTAGCTGTGGTGGGGTAGCTGTGGTGGGGTATAGGGGCTGTGGTGGGGTAGCTGTGGTGGGGTAGCTGTGGGGTGGGAATGATGCTGTGGTGGGGTAGCTGTGGTGGGGTAGCTGTGGTGGGGTAGCTGTGGTGGGGTAGCTGTGGTGGGGTAGCTGTGGTGGGGTAGCTGTGGTGGGGTAGCTGTGGTGGGGGTAGCTGTGGTGGGGTAGCTGTGGTGGGGTTTATGGGTGCTGTGGGTGTGGGTAGCTGTGGGGGTATAATGGGAATGATGCTGTGGTGGGGTAGCTGTGGTGGGGTAGCTGTGGTGGGGTAGCCGTGGTGGGGTAGCCGTGGTGGGGTATAATGGGATTGATGCTGTGGAGGTGTAATGGGATTGATGCTGTGGGGGTGTAATGGGAATGATGCTGTGGTGGGGTATAATGGGATTGATGCTGTGGGGGTATAATAGGATTGATGCTGTGGGGGTTTAATGGAAGAGTACCGAAAAATGTCTCTAAAATAGAATGAACTTAAAACTTTGACCTTCAGAAAAAAGAGTCGAAAGTCGAAGAGCACGCGCATGGAGGAATCCTTTTCGAGTACGAGTTCTCAGCCACTGTAATCGAGATTCGACAAGTTGTACGGTAAGACTTCTAGCTGATAAGACAAAAATCACTTCTAGCTGATTAGCTAAATATTTTATAGAATTCAAATATTATTCTCTCTTTTCTCTTTTCTCTGTAAAGTCTAGTTTTTTCTTATCTTTTTGATAAAAATAGCCCTTCCTGTAGAAGCAAAACTTTGCAATCGCATGAAATCAGCTCAGAATTATCGATTTTTCTTTTTTCTTGTGGCTAAATTGAGATTTTTATTGAATATTAGTATTGATAGATATTAGATCAACTAGGCTAAAGATCAGAAATAGATATTAGATCAAAAAGTAGCTGGACAAGGAAACAAAGCAAAAATCGAACAGCTGACCCAGCCAATCGATTCGATAAACTTCTTCAAAAGATCAAATCAAATCAAAGGATCAAATTTGAACTTTTTCTTAGGAAACCTTTCTTTTTCTTTCTTTTTCTTTCTTTTTCTTCTATAGAATAGAAAGTTATATCTATGCAAATTTAAAATAAAACATTTATCAGTTACCAGCTTTTTTCAATTCCTTTTTTTCCCTATCAGCTACTTTTGCTTGAATGGCTTTACTGGACAAATAGCTTTACAGCTTTACAGCTTTATGGCTTTATGGCTTTACGGCTTTACAGCTTTACGGCTTTATGGCTTTACGGCTTTACGGCTTTACGGCTTTACGGCTTTACAGCTTTGATTCCTTGTCTCTCTAAATTTGGTTCTTTATCTCTCTAAACTTCGCTCCTTATCTCTAGATCTGGATCCTTATCTCTCTAAATTTGGTTACTTATCTCTCCAGATTTGGGTCCTTATCTCTCCAAACTTCATTCCTGATCTCTGAATTTGGTTCTGCTTTACATTCGGCTTTACAGCTTTACGGCTTTACAGCTCTACAGCTTTACAGCTCTACAGCTCTACAGCTCTACAGCTCTACAGCTCTACAGCTTTACAATAGCAAATGACTTTAGAAATTACAATTACAAATACAAATGCCTCTACAAATTGTTTACAAATAACTTTACAATTACAAATAACTTTACAATTACAAATAGCTTTACAAATAGCTTCACAAATGGTTTACAATTACAAATAACTTTACAAATAACTTTACAAAGAGCTTCACCAATAGTTTCCAATCACAAATAGCTTACGATTACAAATGACTTTGCAAATAGTTTACAAATAGCTTTAGAAATTACAATTACAAATACAAATGACTCAACAAATAGCTTCACAAATAGCTTTAAAATAACAAAGCGACATACACCATCGAAATCAGCGCAAAATACTCAACAAGATGTGCTAGGCCTCGGCCCGAAACCGAGGTGTAAATCCAAAAGCATCCCTAGTAAGTCTAGTATGCAAAATAGTAGGGATTTCGTCCCTTTATCAAGACCTGACTCAACAAATAGCATTAGAAATTAGAATTACAAATATAAATGACTCAACAAAGAGTTTACAAATACTAAAGTACTAAAGTAATCATCTTTTTCTTCCAAAACCTTCACTCTAACCCTTTCAATTCACCTTTTTACTTAATTAAATAATTACATTCAGATTTTTCAGATCCTTGCTCCAGTTGATCCTCCGACTGTGTGCCGTTGTTGGCGGGGTTTATGCTACAAGCGCCATTCTGAATAGTATCATTTCTACTGTATTTTGTTGTTTCTCAAGTGCAAATCCGGAAGTAACACCAAAAAATCCTCTTCTTAGCAATAATCATCATCAAGAAAATGGTTCACGGGTGAATTTGTTAAGTAATGAAAAGGTGACGTTGAATTGAGTGCTTTGTTGTAGAGTTTGTAAGCTTTTTTGTAAGCTTTTTTGTAAGCTTTTGGTAACTTTTTGTAACTTTTTGTAACTTTTTGTAACTTTGGCATCTTTTGAAGCACAAAATCGATTGTGAATTTAAGTTTATAATCAAAAGAAAGTTCTGAATTGAGCTCTAACTTTTGAATTGAGCGCTAACTTCTGAATTATGAGCTCTAAATTCTGAATTATGAGCTCTTACTTTTGAATGAGCAGCTCTAACTTCTGAATTGAGCAGCTCTAACTTCTGAATTGAGCTCTAACTTCTGAATGATCAGCTCTAACTTCTGAATTATCAGCTCTAAATTCTGAATTGAGCTCTAACTTCTGAATTAAGCTCTAACTTCTGGATTATGAGCCCTAACTTCTGAATTGAGCCCTAAATTCTGAGTGATCAGCTCTAACTTTTGAATCATCAGCTCTAACTTCTGGATTGAGCTCACACTTCTGAATGATCAGCTCTAACTTCTGAATTGAGCTGTAACTTTTGAATCGAGCTCTAACTTCTGGATTGAGCTCTAACTTCGGAATTGAGCTCTTACTTTTGAAGTGAGCTTTAACTTTTGAATTGAGCTCTAAATTCTGAATGATCAGCTCTAACTTCTGAGTTATGAGCTCTAAATTTTGAATAGTCAGCTCTAACTTTTGAATTGAGCTCTAACTGCTTAATTATGAGCTCTAACTTCTGAGTTATGAGCTCTAACTTTTGAATGAGCAGCTCTAACTTCTAAATTGAGCCCTAACTTCTAAATTCTCAGCTCTAAATTCTGAATGATCAGCTCTAACTTTTGAATCATCAGCTCTAACTTCTAGATTATCAGCTCTAACTTCTGAATTGAGCTCTAACTTCTAAATTATCAGCTCTACCTTCTGAATTCTCAGCTCTACTAAACTCCTTTCCCTGCAGTGTACTTTGTGCTCAAAAGAAAAGCATCCTTTCATCACTCAATTCTCTATTTTTCTTGCCAAAATGACTTGCTTTTGTGAGAAAAACTGAAGAATCAGTGCACCAGAAAGGATGCGTTTCAATTTTTGAGCAAAAAAATCAAAAATTTCTTGATTTTCCCAGAAATCTTGCCAAATAAAACCCTCGTTTTTCTTTGCTTTCGTTTTTTTCTTTCGTTTTATGATTTTTCTTCGGCTTTTCTTCGGCTTTCCTTTTCCCTTCACTTTTCTAAACATATCTGTGATAAAAACTCGAACATTTCATGGTTAATTTTAATCAAAAAAAATCAATTCTTTCTTTTACGGGTTTTATGCCTTAAAATTTTCAAATTTTCTTCATTTTTATCTTCAATTTTCTCATTTTCTTCATTTTTATGCCAAAATAAATCTATAAAGTTGTGTTTTTTTTGAAAATTTAATGAATAATCGTTTCATGATCTTAAAAGAGACTTTTTTTATGAAAAAATGAGCTTTTTTAAAGTCAAAAACCGTTGTTTACAGATCTGGGCACAATGGGACAAGAAAAGAAGCAATTTTCGTGAGTTTTTCTAAAGAAATCTTTTGATTATAGTGTACTTTTTGGTTAAAAACTCAAAACGAACTCTTTCTGGCACTTTTTGATCATTTTTATTTGATCTTTAGTCTACTTTATGCCCAAAAATTGTAAGAGATTCTGTTAAAAATGGAAAATCCAATGCATAAGAAAGTTTCAATTTTTTAAGAAAGGATGCCGTTTCAATTTTACTAATAGTTACTTTAATAACTTATAGTTACTTAAGTAACTAATAGTTTACTTAAAGTACTATTAGATAAGCTTTTTTACTCAAGAATCATCTCTTTCAGCTATCTCCCGAAGATCATGAATGGCGGTTTAGCGGGTATTGTTGGAGTGACATGTGTTTTTCCAATTGATCTCGTCAAAACTCGGCTACAGAATCAAGTGGTTGTTGACGGGAAATTACAATATGCAGGAATGTAAGTGAAGCTAAAATTAAATGAACCTAAACCTAGTGAACCTAAAGCTAAGTGAACCTAAACCTAGTGAACCCAAAACTAAGTGAAATTAAAACTAAATGAACCTAAAGCTAAGTGAATCTAAGACTAAGTGAACCTAAAACCAGTTCAACCTAAACCTAGTGAACCTAAACCTAGTGAAATCTAAAGCTAAGTGAACCTAAAACTAAGTGAACCTAAAACTAAGTGAACCAGAAACTAAGCGAAATCTAAAACTAAGTGAAACTAAAGCTAAATCAACCTAAAACTAAATGAACCTAAAACTAAGTGAGCCAGAAACTAAATGAACCTAAACCTAGTGAACTTAAACCTAGTGAACCTAAACCTAGTGAAATCTAAAACTAAGTCAACCTAAAGAAACAAATTTCAGCTGAAAAAAAACCGATGTTACCAATCAAATTTTAGTGTGGATTGTTTCAAAAAGACTTTCCGTGCCCAGGGTTTCTTCGGAATGTACAGTGGATCCGGTGTGAACATTCTACTAATCACTCCCGAGAAAGCCATCAAATTGGTGGCCAATGACGTCTTCAGACACAAATTGGCGTCACCTGGAGAGAAGTATGAATAAGAATTGAATGATTTTAAACACTCAAAACACTATTTACTAGATACAGGCTTGATTTTGATGACAGATCGGAATCTCCATTCGATTTCCTATGAACTACAGAGAGCTACAGAGAACTACAGAGAGTCTCAAAATTATCCAAACAACTTTTTGGAAAACGAGTTGTCGCACGCTTCATTTATTTCAAAATATCAAGTGTTATGTAGAGAATTGTAGCCCTTAATCTTGGCTACATTTATCTAGTAAAAACTTCCTAATCGGATGTATACAGCTCATTTAACAAGTCCTTGAATATGCACTAGTCTATCCCTATCCCTCTGCCATCTGCCATCTGCCATCTGCCATCTGCCATCTGCTGTTATATTAGCTGTTATAGCGCAATGAAATTGTTGGAAATAACTTTTTAAACAAAATTCACACAAATTTTACTCAATAAAGTCCTTTTTAGACCAAGATTTTATGTAGAAAATTGTCAAAAATGGCAGATGGATAGAAATCGACCAGTGCTCATTCAAGGGCTTGTTAAACGAGTTGCATAAAGACGATTGAAAAGTTTTTACTAGATAAATGTAGCCAAGATTAAGGGCTACAATTCTTTATATAACACTTGATACTTTGAAATAAATTGCGACAACTACGTTTCCAAAAAGTTGTCCGGGTAATTTTGACCAACCCTATATAAAAGAGCGGTGTCTGTCCGTTTGTACGGGCTTTTTCTCAGCCGTCTTTCAGCGAAAAAGACTGAAAATCTAATAGTTATGCCATTTAGAATCAAAGATTCAAAAATTCTAAACTAAATGGCGCTATCGGGGGTCGAACCCGGATCTTGTGGACCGTAGCGCGCGCTCCTGACTAAGCGCGCTCCTGACTAAGCGCGCTCCTGACTAAGCGCGCTCCTGACTAAGCGCGCTCCTGACTAAGCGCGCTCCTGACTAAGCGCGCTCCTGACTAAGCGCGCTCCTGACTAAGCGCGCTCCTGACTAAGCGCGCTCCTGACTAAGCGCGCTCCTGACTAAGCGCGCTCCTGACTAAGCGCGCTCGTGACTGCGCCATGGTGACAAAACCGCTGCAAAAAACTACCGTTAGACGGGGTTTTCGGCTGATAAGATAATAAGATAGTTTTATACTATTGATGAGAATATTTTCAGGTATCTAGCTGCTTGGAAAGGAATGATCGCCGGTGGATTGGCGGGTTTCTTCCAAATCTCTGTCACAACACCAATGGAATTGTTGAAGATTCAAATGCAACAACAAGGAGCTGTTGCGGGTGAGTTTTCAGCAAAACAAAGAAACTAAGCTTTTGTTTTGTTTTGTTTTGAACAATACTAGATACAGGCTTGCTTTTGATTAGAAGATTTGGAATCCATTCGATTCGATCTCCATTCGATTTCCTATGAACAACAGAGAGTCTGAAACTGAAATCTTTCAGGATCAAAGAAGCAAACCGCTTGGCAATTGACCACACAGTTGTTCAAGGAGAGGGGAATCGCTGGATTGTATCGGGTGAGTTGGGCAAGGGAAAAAGTAGACCTTTAGAGGACCTGTTCTCATAGACCTATAGAGGCTAATAACTTTGTTTAGAGCTAATATTATTATTAGCTTTTTATCTATTTAAACGAGGGGATTTCAGGCTTTCGAATGATCCCAAATAAAGGTTGATTGGGTGAATGAATTCGGAGAAAATCCAAAGAGAAAATTAGCAAGTTAGCTTGCATTATTCTCTCGTAAATTCTTAAATCTTAAACCGAACCGGACCAGACCTGGACCGGACCGGACCTGGACTGGACCGAACCGGACCTGGACTGGACCAAACCGGACCTGGACTGGACCGGACCGGACCTGGACTGGACCTGGACCGGACCGGACCTGGGCTGGACCGAACCGGACCTGGACTGGACCGGACCGGATCTGGACTGGACCGAACCGGACCTGGACTGGACCGGACCGGACCTGGACTGGACCTGGACCGGACCTGGACTGCACCTGGACCGGACCTGGGCTGGACCTGCACCGGACCTGGGCTGGACCTGGACCGGACCTGGGCTGGACCTGCACCGGACCTGGACCGAACCTGGACCGAACCTGGACCAGACCTGGACTGGACCGGACCGGACCTGGACTGGACCGGACCCATCAGATTATTCTCAATTTTTATCTCTAAATTTCTCTGCATTTTTCTACAGAGAATTTCTTTTCTCATTGATTTTCTTTTCTTGATTTTCTCAGGATTTATTCGTTCGATCAATCTCTATCAATTAAAGCTCGAAATTTCCTTTTAATCGCGTAGAAACTACACTAATTATACCTTATTAAGCTAATTGTAAGAAATTTGTCCATATAACAATAGCTTTTCAGTAACAATAGCTTTTCCAGGGTCTTGGCCCGACAATGGCTCGTGACGTCACATTCTCAGTCATCTATTTCCCTCTCTTTGCCTATTTGGACTCATTGGCTCCTCGAAAAGCCGATGGAAGTGGAGATGCCGTCTTTTATGGATCATTTTTGTCTGGATTAGCTTCTGGAGCTTTCTCATCGTTTTCTGTTACCCCATTGGACGGTTGGTGAAGGAAAAGGGATTAGAAGCTTTTTATCAATTTGATATTTGATCAGGATTATTATAACCTTTCAGTGATCAAAACAAGGCTCCAAACGATTAGTCAAACGGTCAAATACAACGGATTACTCGATGCTTTCTTGTAAGTTTCTTTCAGATAAGTTTCTTTCAGATAGATGTTCAATCATTACCCAGACTCACTATTTTAAGTGTATCTCAGCACTCAGCTCTGCAATCGGGGGTGGGACAAAGGCCCTGGTTTTATTCTTTCTAACGATACCCTTGCCATTTCTCTGCATTTTGTTTGCGCAAATTTTGACGAATTCCTTAACATTTTGTTCGTAAAACTTTACGCCGTAATAACTTTAGAGGGAGTAGAGGGATTTTTGCTCAAACTTTAGATTTTTCTTGTCTGGACAACAACTAAGAATTGTCCGAATTCGGATTTTTGGATTCCAAGGCATTTTTTTTGAACGCGTTGTGCCGAGTGCTGAATTACACTTAAAAGACTGAGTCCGGGTAATGATTGAACATCGTTTCTACCAAATTTTCAGTTTTTTTTAGGTATAAACTTGATTTGATGACTTGGTTTATAATGAAAAAACTCGGTTTTTAATGAAAAAACTCGGTTTTTAATGAAAAAACTCGGTTTTTAATGAAAAAACTCGGTTTTTAATGAAAAAACTCGGTTTTTAATGAAAAAACTTGATTTATAATGCAAATTTCAACTTTCTTTAGCACAATTCTGCGAACAGAGGGTCCAAAAGCATTATTCAAAGGAGCCGGATGCCGTATGCTGGTGAGTGAATTGTGTGATACGAAAAAGCATTGATTCTTCAACTAGTGGCACTAGTGGAACAATTTTTACCTTTGTACTAGTTGTTCTTGTTCATGAGAGTACTTTTTTCAAGGTAAATTCAGCTATAAGTTGAGTGAAAGTTGTTGAGTTGAGTTGAATACTTGTTTATAGATAATCTTTCATAGAATTAACCATACTTTAGTTTTCTAAGCACTTTAACAATCTCAAAGTTTCGAGCACTTTAACAATCTCAAAGTTAAAGGCTAATTGTCTGTACTATTTCATTCTAAAGCCAATTATCTGTGCTATTTCATACCATACAGACTAGCCAGTACAGTACTTTGACTACGGTAGCTTACAGTATCCAAAGTAAGAGATAACTTAGTGTCCTAATGATGCTATCTTAATAAGGCTATTCTAATAATGCTATTCTAATAATGCTATTATAATAATGGTATTCTAAGAATGCTATCCTAATCATCCTATCCTAATAACCCCATCCTAATCATCCTATCCTAATCATCCCATCCTAATCATCCCATCCTAATCATCCCATCCTAATCATCCTATCCTAATCATCCCATCCTAATCATCCTATCCTAATCATCCTATCCTAATCATTCTATCCTAATCATCCTATCCTAATCATCCTATCCTAATCATCCCATCCTAATCATTCTATCCTAATCATCCCATCCTAATCATTCTATCCTAATCATCCCATCCTAATCATTCTATCCTAATCATCCCATCCTAATCATCCTATCCTAATCATCCCATCCTAATCATTCTATCCTAATCATCCTATCCTAATCATCCTATCCTAATCGCCCTATCTTAATAACGCTCTACTAATCCAATACTTCCTTTAAAAGTGAAATTACCATACCTTCTCTCACCTGTAATATCTAATCATTAGTTTAAGCCATCAAATTCCAGGTGATGGCTCCGCTCTTCGGCATCGCTCAAACCGTCTACTACATCGGAGTAGCCGAGAAGATTTTGGGCCGCGAGAAAGCGGCTCATGTTTAGGAGAATATGTATAAATTAATAATCTCAGCTTTTTAGGAAAATAATAATTATGTAATTATGTAATTATGCAATTTTGCGCCTTTCTCTTTATCAAATGCCATCATTATCTCACTCGAAAGTTAGTCATCGAGAATCCATGAAATCTTTTCTTTTTCTTTACTTTTCTTGCCGATTTTCTGGATTTTTCGACTCGCAAATGATGCTAAATCAAAGATTGATAAATTTTTATGGAAATTTATTTAAAGAAATGTGTAGAAATACGTAGAAATACGTAGAAATACGTAGAAATACGTAATACAAAGTCTATGAAAAAGCCTCAAAGTGTTGAAGGAAGGAAAAAAGGAAAAGTTTGAAGGAAAAACATGTTCTGAAGAGAGTAGTAGAGTCTTTTTTTCTTGTAAGTGTGAAAGAATGCAAGTCAAACTTATTAGCTAGTTAACTTATTAGCGTAGTTAACTTACGAGTCAGACGTAGTTAAATTCAAATACTCAAAAGTTAGTGAAACTTGAAAAGGAGATTAGCTTTATGTTAGGGAGCTGGATCTCATCATGATCCAATGGACACATTCGAAACAACTTTCGAAAACACATTATTACATTCAATACTTGTTTGACGAATAAGTTTGCATGTTCCAGAAAGAAGTTGTTGATTTTTAGAGTGTTCAGAAAGAATTGAGTTTATAAATAGCTCTATGAATTAGAAATCTATGAGTAACCAGCGCTATGAATTAAAATTCTATGAACAAATAGCTCTATGAATTAAAATTCTATGAACAAATAGCTCTATGAATTAAAATTCTATGAACAAATAGCTCTATGAATTAAATCGAGCTGTCTACCCCCAAAAATTCAATATTTGAGCAGATAAGGTTCTAAAGAAATCGACTCAACAGATAGTTTCGGATGCATTGCTTATTTTTATCATTATTGTTTCACTCGTTGTGTTGATTCATTAATTTTCTTGCTACATTGATAGATGCAATTGCTCAAATCTTACTTTATCAACTTAAATCCAATGCTGCATTGATGACAATGACAACGTAAAGAAGAAAAGAAATGAGATAAGTGGATTTCATCTGGGAATTGTTTTTTAGAGTGTTCAGAAAGAATTGAGTTTATAAATAGCTCTATGCATTAGAATTCTATAAATAACTAGCTCTGTGAATTAAAATTCTATAAATAAATAGCTCTATGAATTAGAATTCTAACTTCTAGCCAAATTCTGTAAAATTTTCATGAGAAAAATGACGTTAAACTTTTGAAGCCGATTAGAATTAGATTAGATTAGAATTAGACTAGATTAGAAGTCAAAATGAAATGAAATAGCATTGAAACATTTGAAATGACACAACCAATCAAACAAGACTTTATCACAAAGGTCAAATTGTCGTTGAGCCTTTAAACGTTATCTTTATCTAGATTTCATTAGTGAGAAAGAAAGGATTTTCGATCTAAACTGAAAAACCCGTTTAGTCATTTCCCAATTCTAGTTGATCGCTGAGGTTTCACAAAAACATAAAAAGCTTTTGGAAGAGAAAACTTTGTTTCTTAGACTTCATTGACGATTTGGAAAGTAGACTTTCTTGGCAATTTGATCAAATTGTAGAGAAAAAAAAATTGACAAGAATGCAGAAAAGTTGTTTTAGTGTTAGATGTGCCGGTGTTATGTGCTTCACCGGTGTTATGATCATAACCTTGTGACTGAATGATTCATTCCTTTCTTATAAACAATTCAATGATAATATTTTGTTAGACATTTGGCTTCTTGCAAACGAAATAGGGAGCAGACACAGCATCGGGGCGGATCTGCAGTCACCCATCCGCCGAAACCCTCCCCGCAGTCACCCGTACAATCCGCATTTCATTTTTTATCCTAAAAAATGCAATTGTAAAGCATTATCTCAAGACACCAACGAACATTTTCACAAAAAAGCAGCGAAAAAACGGTAGAAGAGAAGCAAGCGTCAAACCCTTTTGTAGATAAGCGAGCTATAAATTTCGTCAGCAAAAGAAAATCTGGAAGTTTTTGTGATTCTCATTTGGAATGGGCCAAATAGTTCAATTTGTTGGGTTGCTCTTGATTTCATCTCATTTGGCATCGGCACAAGATTGTCCTCGTGACTCGTTCTACGTGGACGAGATCGCTCAATGCATACATCCCGACAACGATCGTGGGTTGAGATCAATGATTTCATTTTGATAGGATGACATAGAAATGACAGGAGCAGAGTTTATTGCTTTTAATCATTGCTTTTGATCATTGCTTTTGATAAAATCCGTGTTTTCAGTCTCTCCGATGCCCTATGCTGAGCTCTATTGTCAAGCATTTGGCGGACATCTCCTCTCGATTCACAACGCCTTTTGGAACGCGCTCATCACTGGGATTCAATTAACAAGTGCGAGATATTTTTGAATGCAAAGTACTCAAATATCTTTTGGAATACTTTTCTGTTTAAGGACTCAATGAAACACGGGGATTGCTGGGCGCAAGAAGGCTTCAGAACGGCACTTTTGCATGGAGTGACGGGACTCCTTTTGACTACGCTCGTTGGGCACCAGGTGGCCGATGTGTAACGTTGCTCTAGTTTGGATTCTTAGGTGAACCACTGTCGGGTGACTGCATCTATCTCGACTCGAACGATTACATGTGGAGGACGATCGACTGTTCGATGACCCTACCGTATCTCTGTGGTTGGCCGAATGTGACCGTGCCCGATTGTACAACACCGGCACCAGATCGTAAGTACAGTACTGGACAATGAAATATGATATTTGCAAAAATGATCGTCACTTTCGCGCGTCTGTAATTTCCTTGTAACATCTGTAACTTCCTTGTTAAACTATTAGTGTTATACATTTTCTGAAAGCTCTTTTCAAGGGCTACACAATGGTAATATTAATATTTAGAAATACGGTAAAGACGAGGGAGTTACAGACGCGCGAAAGTGACGATCTTTTTTCAAATATGATATTTCATTGTCCAGTAGTGTATCATGCCCATTATTGACATTATTGATAGACTAAACAATCAAATGATTCAGGAAATCTTATAGAAAAGGGATGAACAGTTTAAAGATTCTGGATTGGTCTAGAATAGGCTTAGAATTGGTCTAGAATAGGCTTAGAATTAGCCTCGAATTAGTCCCGAATTGGTCTAGAATTAGCCCCGAATCAGCCCGAATGTATTCCAGTCCACAAAAGAACCTACAGTACTGGACAATGAAATATGATATTTGAAAAAAGATCGTCACTTTCGCGCGTCTGTAATTTCCTTGTAACGTCTGTAACTTTTTTGTTAAACTATTAGTGTTATACATTTTCTGAAAGCTCTTTTCAAGGGCTACACAAAGGTAATATTCATATTTAGAAATACGGTAAAGACAAGGGAGTTACAGACGCTCAAAAGTGGCGATCGTTTTTCCAATATGATATTTCATTGTCCAGTACTGTACATCGTTCACCAATCGTAGTAATCGTTTATTGTTTTTGGAGAAAAATCAAAGAGTAAATGACATAATGCTGAGTGGTCTAAGCCCGGTGATACTCTAAATAAATGTTTGAAGTTTAAATAGTGTATTCACCTACTGTAATTATTCTAAAAGACGCACAAAGGTGATGAAGCCCCGCCCGCTCATCAGAGAGCTAAAAAATTGCCCCAAAGCCCCAAGTTTTCAAGTAAAATGTCTGAAATTTGACCACAACATGCCAACAAAAATCGGCTTAAAAGGAGAGTCCCAAAACTCCTATGCCAGTTTGGCGGTGATTACGCGTCATTTATCTTTTTACTTTTTACATCATTGGAATCAGGAATTCTGCGTCGAATGGTCTATATACAGTGGTCCACAAAAGTATTGTCCCATTGCCATCCAAAAGTTTCTTTCGTACGAAAATCTTACAAAAAAACGATATTCCCAAAAAGTGTAGGGTATTTTGCTTACCCATAATACTCTACTTTTCAAGATTATAAGATTCATCCGTATAAATTGCATAAAAATTAAAGTATAAAACAAACAAAAACAATAAGTTTAACAAAAACAATAACAAAAAGGAAAACAAACTGGCAAGATTTCGATGCAAAATCTTTCAAGCTCTTCCTGGCTTCAAATGGGAATCGTCAAATTACCGAGGATTCGTGACTACTGGAGTAGCAGGCCTGGATTAGGAGGATTTTCCCACATGTCCCACATTATGTCAAGAGCAAAATTTGAATCTATTCTTCGCAACCTGCGTTTTTGTGATAATGAACTGGATCCTGCAGGAGATCGGCTTTATAAGATTAGAGCTATTATGGAACATTTTAATGCAAAACCAGAGACTGCATTGATTCCGGGTAAATATGAAACATCTTTTTGCCCACGTAATTTGTAGATCTGCTACAATTGGAATATACATGTAATGCTGAAAAACAGCAAAAAAAAGCAATTAATTGAATGAAAATAGCTCAATTAGCGCTGCAGCGAATAATCGCTGCAGCGGTCCGTTCCTGAGTTTTTGCTGCAGCGATTATTCGCTGCAGAAGTTTCGAATGGGTTAAGTAACTTATTGTTTTTGTTTTATACTTTAATTTTTATGCAATTTATACGGATGAATCTTATAATCTTGAAAAGTAGAGTATTATGGGTAAGCAAAATACCCTACACTTTTTGGGAATATCGTTTTTTTGTAAGATTTTCGTACGAAAGAAACTTTTGGATGGCAATGGGACAATACTTTTGTGGACCACTGTATATAGACCATTCGACGCAGAATTCCTGATTCCAATGATGTAAAAAGTAAAAAGATAAATGACGCGTAATCACCGCCAAACTGGCATAGGAGTTTTGGGACTCTCCTTTTAAGCCGATTTTTGTTGGCATGTTGTGGTCAAATTTCAGACATTTTACTTGAAAACTTGCGATTTGGTGCAATTTTTTAGCTCTCTGATGAGTGAGCGGGGCTTCATCACCATTGTGCGTCTTTTATTAGACTAATTACGGTGTTTTACTTTCAGCAATCAGCTGCCCACAGGGATCTGTCTACATTCAAGAAACGCAATCATGTTTACATGCTGATAACAACGGTGAGACTTCAAATAAATCCAATCATTTCATCTACTTTCATCTACCACTTTAGTTGTCTCTTTTTACTTGGCCGAGAAGTATTGTCAGGCATTCAACGGTCATCTGTTCTCGCTCCACGATGGAGATACGGATGACTTTCTGACTGGAATCTCGTACACTTGTGAGGGTTTTCTAAATGCGATCAACTTAATCGACTTAATTTTTAAGTTTCTAGAGTTCTTTGAGGTAAGAAAGGTAAGAAAGAAAGGAAGAAAGGTAAGAAAGGAAGGAAGAAAGGAAGAAAGATAATCGGAATTAACCTTTAACAAGCTATTCAATTGTAAAGCATTATCACCAAGACAGCAATAAACGTTTTTGCAAAAAAGGCAGCGAATCGGCGAAGCAAAGAGCATAAAAGCCTTCTGTAGAGCCTTCTGTAGATAAGCGAACATTTTGCCAACAAAAAAAAATGCCAACTAGGGCTACTTCAAGAGTTTAGTGATAAACGGTGATCAATTCTATATTGGAGCCAAGAAAGCTGGATCTAACTACTCGTGGACAGATGGATCACCTCTGGATTACATGAATTGGGGACAAGGTGAAACTGAAACTGAAAACTGGCTTAACTATCAAGGATATTAAATATATAAAGCATATTTTAATTAAATAAATAAAGCTTTTAGCTGAGCCTCAACGTGACTGCGTTGTCATTCAACGGGAAACGACTTCATGGGTTACCGTAGACTGTTCGACTCCGCTTCCATTCATGTAAGTACTGCATTAAGCCTTAAGCAATAAGCATTAAGTATATTAGATTTGTGCATAAGTCTTTACAATTTGTTTTCAAATTTTTCTTTCCATGAAAAAGAATTCTTTACCAATTTCTTTACCAAATACCAAATTGCGTCCAAAACTATTAGGAAATCTCTGCAAAATGGCTTTTGAGAGAAAGCTCAAAGTTCACCCGAAATTCGATCAACTTCTGTAGAATTTTCAATTACTTTTTTAAAGTAAATGGCTGAACGGATTGTTTTCAAATTTTACAGACTTATGTAATCAAATAAGCTCTATCCTTTTTACTTTGGCAACAAAATAGGTTTGTATTCAAGAAAGTGTCCAAATCGCCACTTCAGCATCGGAGCACTTTTGGGTTGGCCTTTTGGGTTGGCCTTTTGGGTTGGCCTTTTGGGTTGGCATTTTGATTGGCCTTTTGGTTGGCCTTTTGGTAGGGCCTTTACGTCTTTGAAAATCAACAAAAACAACTATTTTCAAGAATTTCTCTAGAATCACTCGATTTGAACGAAAAAACGCTTAAATTGGCAACAAACGGCCTAAACACTCCATCATTTTGGCCTTTCAATGTAAAACGTTAACAAATGACTTGAATTAGCCACAAAGCACGTAAATTAGCAACAAATCACTCGATTTGAGCGAAAAACCCTGCAACAATTTAGGTTTCGATTGTTTAGTGCATCTCCTTAAGATCTCCCGGAACATCTCCCGGAACGGAGACGCGTTCCGGGGTTAATGCTAACCTCAAACTTGGGTAATTCAACCGACGAGACAGGTATGTATCTGTGGACCTTTGTGGAAAGGCTGTGTGCTAGCTCCCGTTTTTATCAACAAGCCATTTTGCAGAGAAAAAAGTAGCTTTTTCCATAGTTTAAATAGAAATTTTGTTGGTTGCGGCATTATTTTTAAAAGACGTTTGAAAAAAAAAATTGTAAAGAGTTTTGCACCAACTTAATCGATTAGAAAAAAAATTGGAAGAGGTCTCGTTTAGGCCACTAAAAAATGACGGACCTTCACGTGTACATGCTTGCAAACAATCCAGCATCAAAGCAATACATGAAGCTTTCAGGTGCAACATTCCACCTATTCTAAACGGTGGCTGTGCCCTCACGACCGTCCCCTTCACGACTACAAGTGATGAGTTGGTTACTGGAACGGAAGCTGTAGATACAACAACAACTGCCCCAGCCCCAGCCTGCCCAGCTTTACCTGCATTGAACTGCTTGCCAAGTGTGGTGCTTTGTGAAACAGCTAGATTCTGGTCGTTTAGAAGAAAGTCAGCCACTCTACACATGTCAAAAAGGATGGCAGTGTTTCGCAAAAACTGGCTACTTGTACTTGGTATTTTATCGTCATTATTTGTCCACTCTCACAGTTACAGATTTTCACAGATTCATCCTTTTCAAAAGGAGAAGCATACTGCGTAAGTCAAGGAGGGCATTTAGCCTCAATTCACAGCCAAGAGGAAGATGATTTCGTTTCAAGTGAGCGCGTTTTGCATTGAATTCTTGTATAAACCGGGTCTGAAGGTCTTTGCTGTGATTCGGACTGTAACTATCGCAAAGATGGGCCCGATGGATGGAAATTTGCAGGCTCAATGCTGATCGGAGCCCATAAAGTTTGTTGTTTTTTTTGCTCTGTTTTGATGAGGGCACTTAATAATTGAAAAAAGGATAGAAAAAAGGGAAAAGAATGAAAAAGGGAAAAGAATGAAAAAGGAAAAGCTTATTTAGCATTTAAATATTTACAAGGGAAAGTCACGAAGCCAAGTTGGCCAATCGAAATGAGAATTTGATGAATCCGTTGCAGAATTTGACTTAGGGAGGATTAAAAAAATAGTCCGAGAAATAGTTAAACTTTCAATTCACCAATTGAGCATTGTTAGATCAATGGTGCATGGACGTGGACTGATGGCACTCCGTGGGACTACAGTCAGCAAATATGCACTGAGGGTGGCAGCGACTTTTTGGTGGTGAGATACAAATCCTAATCGTTATCGTGATCGTTAGCTTTAGCGTGATCGTTAGCGTTAGTTAACTGCTGATGTTAATAAAAACGGAAAACAAACAAAAAAAAAACAATTCCAGACAACAGACGACGATTGTACGGGTGACTGCGGGGAGGGTTTCGGCGGATGGGTGACTGCAGATCCGCCCGATGCTGAGGCTATTCCCTATTTCGTTTGCAAGAAGCCAAATGTCTAACAAAATATTATCATTGAATTGTTTATAAGAAAGGAATGAATCATTCAGTCACAAGGTTATGATCATAACACCGGTGAAGCACATAACACCGGCACATCTAACACTAAAACAACTTTTCTGCATTCACAACTTGGTCAAATTGCCAATGAAGTCTACTTTCCAAATCGCCAATGAAGTCTAAGAAACAAAGTCTTCTCGTCCAAAAGCTTTCTATGTTTGCAAAAGCTCAGCGATCATCTAGAATTGGGAAATGACTAAACGGGTTTATCAGTTTAGATCGAAGATACTTTCTTTCTCACTAGTGAAATCTAGATAAAGATAAAGATAACGTTTAAAGGTCCAAAGACAATTTGACCTTTGTAATAAAGTCTTGTTTGATTTTGGTTGTGTTATTTCAAATGTTTCAATGCTATTTCGACTTCTAATCTAGTCTAATTCTAATTCGAATCGGCTTCCAAAGTTTAACGTCATTTTTCTCATGAAATTTTTACAGAATTTGGCTAGAACTTTTTAAATAAAAGAAAATATCGTGTTTCTTCTTATTATGAACAATTAAAGCCAAAAATTTAACTAGTAAACATTTGCTTTGACAATAAAACAATAAAGCAATAAAGCAAATTTTCCCAAAAGTGAAACAACTGATTTATCCATTCATTTTTTTTACTGACAAACTAAAAACTGACAGACTCTGACAATCTGACAGACTCTGACAATCTGACAGACTCTGACAATCTGACAGACTCTGACAATCTGACAGACTCTGACAATCTGACAGACTCTGACAATCTGACAGACTCTGACAATCTGACAGACTCTGACAATCTGACAGACTCTGACAATCTGACAGACTCTGACAATCTGACAGACTCTGACAATCTGACAGACTCTGACAATCTGACAGACTCTTACAATCTGACAGACTCTGACAATCTGACAGACTCTGACAATCTGACAGACTCTGACAATCTGACAGACTCTGACAATCTGACAGACTCTGACAATTTGACAGACTCTGACAATCTGACAGACAAACCAAAATCTGACAGACCAAAAACTGACAGACTTTTTTACTCTTTTGTTGACAGTGTTCTAAGAGTGAAATGTGAAATTTCTAAGAGTAGAATGCCAAACCCCAAACCGCTGTGCCAATCAAATGTGGCTTTGCATTTTTTGAGAACACTTTTCTCAATGAAATTTTGAAAATTCATTTTTGATTTTAAATAAATGTCTAAATAAATAATAAATTGATAAAGAGATTGATTGGTAAAGAGATTGATTGATAAACTGTAATAATTAAGTGTTGGCAAGAAGACTAACCACTCGACCAAACCGGTAGCTTGATCCGATCGCTGAGAACGACTTATAATGGTTTGAAGGAAGAATCGGATTTCGTTGGGGACCGGAATACCCCTGTCGAGATAACACTTTCTAGCATCATTTGGAAGACGAAAAATATGAGAGACGTGTTTTCCGTGTTGACTTGGGATGAACTCGACGATACTTTTCTATTATGAGAGCCCATTTCTCATCTATTCCTCATTTCCGTTGAGGGCCGATTTTTGGAAAATTAAGGGAATACGGTCTTCTTTCAAAAATCACTCAAAAATCGGTTTTCCGACTTGTTCCTACTTGTTCATTGATTTCTCAAAAACGATAAATTGTTGCTAAATTGAAAGTGCTTGCTCATAAAGTCTACTTTTGAATGTCCTTATTGTCTGTCCTTACAATTCATCATATCTCATTTGTTTCCTTTTCAAAAGAAACATTCTTTTATTGACCTTGGCAGAAAATGGAGATCTTTAGAAGAATCTCTCGACCTCAACAATCTTTTGATAAAGAGAAGGCAAGAGATCTTTTGATAAAGGCAAGCGCTTGTGTATCAAAATATCCCTAGAGACTCTTTGATTGATCAACCTAGAGTTAGACCTGTTTTCTGCCAATGACATGCCATATAAAGCCGCCAGTGTTTCATTATAGTATCCCAAACTAATAAACTAACTAATCACGAAAAACACAGGACAATGCGCTACCCAAAAGAAGTCATTTTTTGTCTCCTATTATTTTTCGGTCTTGTTGCGACACAAAGAAATCACTGGAGAAATACGGTAAATCTTTGTGGATTCTTTTTCTGGATTCCTTTTCTTTTAAACATTCCCACAACGTTTAAATTAGATAGAATAACTTTAAGTTCGAATAAAATCGTCGGCCGTTGCCGTTAACGTTGCCAAAATGCAACGTTTTTTAAAACGAAATCTTTAGCCCGCCCAATCTAACTCCGTTGCTCGAATGAATGTGAAATATTGCACGACACCCACCCGAACTAACGTTTCCGGCTTAAGCGCAGGCTTTAGGCTGTGGCGCAGGCTGTGGCGCAGGCTTAAGCGCAGGCTTAAGCGCAGGCTTAAGCGCAGGCTTTAGGCTGTGGCGCAGGCTTAAGCGCAGGCTTAAGCGCAGGCTTTAGGCTGTGGCGCAGGCTTAAGCCTGTGGCGCTTCACACCACAGCCTTAAGTCTGGGGCGCCAGAAAGAACGTCTAAAAATGCATTCGTTAGTTCGGGTGGGTGGGGCGGTATTTCACATTCATTCGGGCAACCGAGTTGGGGTGGGCGGACTAATAAAATTCGAATAAAATCGTTGGCGAATAACGTATCATACAATTGAAAGTATGTTTATATTAGGTTGGGGGGAAAGTCTTTGCCGATTTTTTGGGAGAAGGTAAACTTGTCCGATCCGAATGAATGTGAAATACCGCCCCACCCACCCGAACTAACGAATGCATTTTTAGACGTTCTTTCTGGCGCCGCAGGCTTAAGGCTGTGCTGTGAAGCGCCACAGCCTTAAGCCTGCGCTTAAGCCAGGAACGTTAGTTCAGGTGGGTGGGGCGGTATTTCACATTCATTCGGGCATTCATTTAGACGTTCTTTCTGGCGCCGCAGGCCTTAGGCTTAAGCCGGGAACGTTAGTTCGGGTGGGTGGGCGGTATTTTTGTAAAACGATTGCAAAAACGTTGAAAATTTATATATTAAAAAACGATTTATCCAATCCTCTAGGAAATTAGCTTTTGGATGAGCGGCCAGATCGGACAAGTTTAAGCTTTTGAATGAGCGTCTAGATCGGACAAGTTTAAGCTTTTGAATGAGCGCCTAGATTGGACAACTTTCTCCCAAAATCAGCAAAGATTTTCTCTCCAACCTAATACAACATTCAACCTCCCATCCGTATATTCTTTTTCAGACAAATCCGAAATCAAAAACAAAAATCCGTGACTTCGAACATCTTTAGGGATGTTGGATGTTGGATGTTGTATCTCTAGGGATGTTGGATGTTGTATTAGGTTTTAGGGTTTTTTTTGTACTCGATAAAGAAATAAATATGCTCTACACAGAAAATTCAATGGAGAATCGTTGATGAGCAGACGGGCAACACGACAATTTTGACCCCGATCGCTCCAGGACCCGAAAGAAGTTGCTACACGGTGGTGAGTTGTGTATTTGTGAGCATCGCTAGCGACAAAAAACCTTATCCGATCTCTTAAGAAGATCGTAACCAAATGAGAGCCAACATTTTCAATCTTTTCGCTTCAGAAAATCGGCAAACTTCACTTCTCCTCGATTCCAAAAAACATGTCACGAATGATGAAAAGGGTAGCTTTTAAATAGCTTTTAAACGAGAAATTTACACCGGGTGAACAAAAAAAACAAGCTCTACTCATATATAAATCTATAAAAAAGATTCTTTATACCGTAAATACTGTAATAGTACCCGACCCCCCCATAATGACGGTGCGGAGTGTCGCGTAGTCTAGCTTTAAACGAGTTTTTCTCGACACTGGTTTATGCTACAATGCGCGCTTAGGTATCAAAAAATAGCCCTGAATTTCAGCTATTTTTTGATACCAAAACGAACATTGTAGCATAAACCAGTGTCGAGAAAACCTCGTTCAAAGCTAGACTACGCAACACTTCGCACCGTCATTATGGGGGTGGGGTACTATTACAATATTTATGGTAGGTATTTTTGTTAAGAAACATTCGCTTAACAGGAAAGCGCGGCAAACGGAGGTTGGCTCGGGTAATTTTGGGGCACCCTGTTTCAAGGATTTCAAGGGCGATCATTTGACTCCCAAGCGCACACTGTAGCATAAAGCAGCGCGGACGTTCAAAGCTAGACTACGCAACACTCCGCACTCTCATTATGCGAGTGGGGTACTATTACAGTATTTACGATATGTAATTTAGTAAGAATATATTGTTTTGGTGAAAAGTTTGATTTTCAAGAGTTTTCAAGCTTGGGAAGGCCTCCCAAAAACCAGCAAAAATGACGTTTTTTGATCGTTTTCGGGTACTTTCGAAGGCTTGAAAACTCTTGAAAATTAAAAGTTCTTAAGTTCTTAGATTCAAACGATGATTTCTTACTAAATTACATATGGAGAATCTTTTTGGATCTTTTGGATGGATATGATCTTTTATAGTAAAAAGTGCCTCATTAAAAAGTTGAAAATTACCCTTTTTATTTCTTTCGCCGTTTTTAGCAGCACTCAAATTTTTTCTAATGCGCTTACAAGCTGTAAACGAGTCTATATTTCATTTTTGTTTTTGGATTTTTGTTAAAATCATTGCTTCAGAAAAAAGATCTGCGTAAAAATGGTGGGGGATTTTTGGGGTAGGCTAGTTTCCGAGTTTTTGGGCTAGGCTTTTTCTAGAGCGCTGGGCAAAATTACCCGGACAAGAAACTTGTTTGAATGTTATTCGTCCTTTCCATAAAACTCCTCTAATTCTTTTTCTACATAAACTCCTGCATAAACTTAATTATCCTCGAAAAAAGTAGTCACACTTTTCTAATCTTAATGCTTAATGCTTTTTCTCGAATTATTTAGAAACCAAAAAAGCCTGAAAAGCCGGAAATGAAGCTCTGTTCTGGGGGGTAGGCTAATTCCCGCCATTTTATTTGCGCAACAGGGTCATTTGCGCAACTTGATCGTTTGCGCAACTCGCCATAACTTTCTTCTAAGTAAGCCAATCTTTATGATTTTGATGTCATTTTGTAGGTCTCTCTCAAGAAGTGCAACAAAATGACACCAAGATCATAAAGATTGGCCCACTTAAAAGAAAGTTATGGCGAGTTGTGCAAACGACCCAGTTCCGCAAAAAAAGTTGCGGAAACTAGCCTACCCCGGTTTTTTTTTGTTTATTGGTTTATTGCATGATAATTGCTTGCAAAATAGTCTTTTCTCATTGTCAGATTCTCTGTGAGTTGACGATGCGATGGAAAGGACTTCCATTCACAAAGGCCAACGATGAGCGATTGGACAGCAACGAGTGAGAGAGAATTTGATTCGAATGGAGAGTGAAAAAACACACGCAATGCAATCCCTCTTTTTAAACCTTAAGAGTTAACCTGTAAGAGTTAACCTGATAAAAACTAAAGATGTCAAAAGGGATATTCCAGTTCTATTAGCTAAGTTATTAGCTTTCTAAGAAATCTTGAATTTCTTGAGAAAAGAGTGACCTTCGATGGTAAATTCATTTCAATTTTTCAATGTTAAAATGGAAGTTTTTGAATCAAGACCAAATGCAATGCCAAAGAGACCATTATAATAATTTTTAACCAGAAATTTGAAATAGATCGGTTGAATTTGAGAAAATAATTTTTTGCGTGTTTCTCCTTGACTCAAGCTTCCTGTAAGAGTTGGCCCTGATAAAAAACTAAAGCTCCGGGCAATATTTAAAGGGCAATGCGATTCATTTCATAATTTAAAGGGGTATTCCGGTCCCCAACGAAATCCGATTCTTCCTTCAAACCATTATAAGTCGTTCTCAGCGATTGGCTCAAGCTACCGGTTTGGCCGAGTGATTAGTCTTCTTGCCAACGAGGCTGGCCCTCGAGGGTTCAAATCCCGCTCGTTTTCATTTGGCTTTTCCTTTTTTGTTTTTCATTAGATTTTTCAAGAAGCGATTAGCTGAGGCCAAGGTCCTTACATCCTTACAATCAGGGCCTTACATCCTTACAACCAGGGCCTTACATCCTTACAACCAAGGCATTACATCCTTACAACCAGGGCCTTACATCCTTACAACCAAGGTCCTTACATCCTTACAACCAGGGCCTTACATCCTTACAACCAAGGTCCTTACATCCTTACAACCAAGGTCCTTACATCCTTACAACCAAGGTCCTTACATCCTTACAACCTGGCCCTTACATCCTTGCAACCAAGGTCCTTACATCCTTACAACCAGGGCCTTACATCCTTACAACCAGGGCCTTACATCCTTACAACCAGGGCCTTACATCCTTACAACCAGGGCCTTACATCCTTACAACCAAGGTCCTTACATCCTTACAACCAGGGCCTTACATCCTTACAACCAGGGCCTTACATCCTTACAACCAAGGCCTTACATCCTTACAACCAAGGCCTTACATCCTTACAACCAAGGTCCTTACATTACAAATATGTAGAATTATTACCCTTTCATTAACGAAAGCTAAGGAAAAAAGCCGACTTTTGATTAATACCTTCCCATCGTTCTACCTTTTAGAAATCATTGAAAATTGCGGAAATTTTGATTCAAATTGACTGATAGTATAATTTTCTTAGTACTTTTTTTCAACAATTTGTTAATCTGTAGATATAGAACATTGAAATCACAGAACTATTTCCCTAAATACCTTTCAAGCACAACTAATAAACTGTCAACTAGAAGCTCTTTCTTTCTTCGGAACTCATTATTACGTGTGCTAGAGAGTGCTGAAAGAAAAAGATATCTAAAGAATGAGTAAAAAAGGTGAAAAACTTCATAAAAGATTAGAAAGATGTGAAAAGAAAGAAAAAAAGAAAAACTCGTTAAATACCCTAAAACAAAAACGTTAATTAACTTTCAGTTGCTTAGCTGAATCTTTTTATCGGTCTTTTGTTTCAGAATAATTGCTGAAAGACAGAATGGGCAGTGTCAGGCTTAAGTGAAGAAAGACGCAAAAAGAATGAAATGAAATAAAGAACAAGAATGAAAGAATGAAATTGTGAGCTTTTTTGGTACCTGCAAATTAGGAGTGCGGTAGTTTTGTCAAACTTTAAAGCGTCAACCCAGGATTTCCTCGGAAAAAGGTCGCAAGTGATTTCCCTTTCACCCCTTGGCTTTGTGATGCGGAGTTTCAGCCCTACGGGGTGAAAAGGTGTACTTGAAGCCCTAAGCTTTTATTCTAGGCAATAACCGGGCCAAATACTTCCTCGGAAAAAGGTCGCAAGTAAGGGAATCCTTTTTTAGCTTCAATCCTTTAACCAATCCTAGACAGGTTAAAATATAGAATTGCTACTATTGATCGTTATTTCAGTTTTTCAAGTCACTATATCCACTTTTAGTCTCAAAACAAACACGACTGGGTTGGTCAACTTTTGTGTGACGAAAAAGTTCTTCAAAAATACCTCAAAGAGGAGCCAGCGACGACTGAGTGCACATGCAAAATCGACAAAATTCTTTATTTGGCGAGATCCGGTTGATCGTTTCAAATCAATGTACACGCATTTGTGTGTGTGAGTTTTGAAGATCTTTTTGTTCAAATTATTCTTTCCTAAAAAGTTTCCCGTATTCTTTCTAATAGTAGTGCATCCAAAGCTTCGTCTAAATTCCTCGAAATCTCGAGAACCGCTTATCAGAACCTATCGATGTGGGATCGGAAAATGTAGCTAACGATGAGATCTAGGATTAGAGGATTTGGAGCAGCGTAGAGAGGAGGAGTAGTGATTGTGATTGAGGAAGTGATGGTGGTTGTCGAGAGCTCTCGAAGTGCTTGATGGGCACGATGTTTGAGACGTTCCAACAGCACCACATGCTTTGAAGCTGCCTCCAGCACTTCATTGGCTCCATCGCGGTTGATTTTCTTTAATAGTAGTGCACCCAGAGCGTCGCCTAAAGGAACCAAATGCTCAACTGGATGATTCCAAATTATTTCACGGTCTAGGAAGGAGCACTTCAAAAAAACGAGAGGAACGAGAGGAATTTTTGCAGGAAATTCTCCTAAAAATTCGAGATTTCATGGAAATCTGGTGCAAATTGCAAAAAAATAGCAAAAATAGCAAAAAAAATAGCAAAAATAGCAAAAATAGCAAAAAAGGTTGCAAAAAAGATGAAAATCTAGTGGATTGGATCTTTTCCGATGAGAAGAAATGGAATTTCGATGGCTCCGATGGCGTTGACTACTATTGAAGGGATCTTCGACGTGATCCGATGGTGTTTGGGAGTTGAAGAAATCTTTGGAGAAAAGGAACCAAATCTTTAGAGAAAAGGAACCAAATTTGTAGAGAAAAGCAACCAAATCTTTGGAGAAAAGGGACCAAATCTGTAGAGAAAAGGAACCAAATCTTTGCTCGAAATCTCGACAACCGCTTATCAGAACCTATCGATGTGGGGTCGGAAAATGTAGCTGACGATGAGATCTTGACGATGATTAGAGTGTTGAGCTTCTGTGAAAGCTTGGGAACTGTAAAATAGCCACCAACTCGGCTCGCCGGGGTGCACTACTATTAGAGACATACGGCATTTGTTAAAGCTTGGCGCTTTTTAGTGACAACAACTTTTGCGGAGTCTCTGGGGAATCGATCTCGAAATTCGCCAAAGCCAACTACGATTTTTTTCAAAACGGTCACATGAATTTTTTTGTTGATATTTAGCATGATCATAGAGTCAAAAAATATAGGAGGACTAGAAATTAGAAAACAGGAGGACTAGAGATTAGTTTGCACTAGTTACAAACTAAAACTCCACTCTAGTTTCAACCGATACAGTGCAACGTAAAAAGAAAAAAACAAAATCAACTGACTCATTCAAACTTTCTCCACAAATTTCAAGTTATTGAGTTGAGCAGAAAAAGTTATTAATCGATTTATAGTTAGCCAGTCAAATTTATGCAAATTGAGGCCAAATTTATGCAAATTTATGCAAATGGCATTTCTAACTCTTTCTCAAATTTCAGGCATCGACTTTCCGGGGATCACAAAAGATGACTCGGGAACTTTAAAGCATCATATGAAATCGCATATATGGTAGGTAAAATGAACTGAAATTCAGCTGAAATTTGAGTGAAATAGACGCTATGAGAAGTAGGATCCTAGTTAATTTCAATGAGATGTAGGATCCTATACAATTTCAATGAGAAGTAGGATCCTAGTTAATTTCAATGAGATGTAGGATCCTATACAATTTCAATGAGAAGTAGGATCCTAGTTAATTTCAATGAGAAGTAGGATCCTATACAATTTCAATGAGAAGTAGGATCCTAGTTAATTTCAATGAGATGTAGGATCCTATACAATTTCAATGAGAAGTAGGATCCTAGTTAATTTCAATGAGATGTAGGATCCTATACAATTTCAATGAGAAGTAGGATCCTAGTCAATTTCAATGATTATATCTACAGGATTATCCAAAATTATAGCAACTCGGTTTTTCTTGATGTATTGGGTTGGTGAATTGGAAACTGTTTGTGTGTGAGACAAGTGTGAGACTCAAAAATGGAGGACTGGAGAGGAGGATGGATGACTGGAGAGGAGGATGGAGGACTCCCAGTTTGAGCACTTTCTTCCAAAGAAACCCATTTTGGTGTCAATAGAAAAGTTGTAGAGAATCAAAAATTAGGCTTATAGCTTCATCCCAAGCAATTGAAGTAATCTGATTCTTAGTTAGAGCAAAATCTCAACCAATAAAACTGTTCAAATATCATGTCCATTTCGAAATCTTTCACATTCTCCCAACTTTAAACCACCGTATAAAATTAACAAAAACCGTTTCCAAATAAAAGCGATGTTTCTGACGTCGGAAATCATGTTAATTTCAATTTCAAAACATGAATGATAAGAGAATGAATGATTGGGTTGCCGAGTTAGACATCAAATATCGAGTTGGTATAGTTTTGGACCATTCTGTAATTACATTAAACTAAATTTTAATGATTGTATCGAACTACTAGGTACTGTGACCTCCGAGAAGACTATAAAAGCTATCATCTCGTCAAATATTCATCGGATCCTCGCGAAAACATTGCACAACTCGAGAAGCTTTTCGTAAGATCTGGCTTTCCGAGGGATCTTTCGAAAAAGGTGAGTTAGCTTAGAGTATAGCTAATTGTAGCTTAGAGTATAGCTAATTATAGCTTAGAGTATAGCTAATTGTAGCTTAGAGTATAGCTAATTGTAGCTTAGAGTATAGCTAATTGTAGCTTAGAGTATAGCTAATTGTAGCTCAGAGTATAGCTAATTGTAGCTTAGAGTATAAAGCTACAATTTCTAGCTAGCGTGGGACCAATAAAAGACTTATTATACCAATAAAGTACTAAAAGACTAAAAGACCAATAAAAAACCATTTCCTAATAAACCTATCGCCAATCTCAGAGGTTTTTTTGTGAAATGTTTTGTAGACTTACCGATAAAAACATATAGAAAATTAGGGTCAAAGTCAAGATAGGTGTCTACCTCCCCCTAGAGATTTGTCTACCCCCCTAGAGATTTGTCTAGGGGGATAGAAAGTCGGAGTTTCACGACTCTTCTCCTTCATATCTCAACTTCCAATTGACCGATCAACTTGTGGTTGGTCTTAAAATGTTCCTTATGAAATTCGGTTATAGAAATCCACAACTTACTTATTACCCTTTAATATAAAAACATAGAGAAAATCTCTGTCAAAGTCAGACTATCTACTTAGAAGAGTCGATCCAATTAAATGGTCCATAACTCCCCTTTTTTGGCTTCTCAAAAAGATTGTATCTCAAAATCTTTGAAAAAGTCAATGTTTATGATGAAATTGAAATCTTAAAAGGATCGGAAAGAGGATTGGGTTTATTTTGTTTACAACGGGGTTTACAAAAGATTTGATTAAAAGTTGTATGTGATTCAGATTATCCATTAGCTAAAGTAACTTGGTTTATTAGCTACCATTAGCTACCTTACGGTAGCTAATGGTAGCTAATAAATTGTATTTTTTGTGAGCATCAAGGATACAAAAACTAATCTATTTTCGTTGTTAGTTTTAGTATAATAAACTAGTACAGTCGAACTTCAATATAGCGACTTTCGATATAACGTACACTTCGATATAAAGTAAACTACGATATAAAGTATACTTTGATATAACGTACACTTCGATATAGCGTACACTACGATATAACGAACCTTATATTCGGTTCCGGTCAAACGCTTAATAAAATGTTACAAGGGAATGGTCTCAGCTTATGGTTCGGAATCGACTGGAAACACAGTGCATAACATAGAATCGGTAATGGCGAACAAAAAGCCAAAAAAATTAGCCGCTAATAGACACCGACACTTGGGGAATCTAACATGCAGAATGGGGATTCAAAACTATTTCCTTTCTAAGGCTTCTGCTGGTCAAAGATGAGCTCGTGGCCTAGTGAGGCTTAGGCCTTTTTAAAATCTACGGACACTTCGATATAACGTACACTTCGATATAACGTACACTATGCTATAAAGTACACTTCGATATAACGTAGTCTTCGATATAACGTACACTTCAATATAACGAACTCTATATTCGGTTCCGGCCAAACGCTTAATAAAATGTTACAAGAGAATGGCCTCAGTTCAAGGTTCGACTGGAACCGTGGAACGATTGTTCCAATCGACTGGAAACAGAAAGCAACAAGATTTACGACATAAATTTTAGGTTCTATCTCGAATGGATCGAGTTGCCGTGAGGACAGGCGAGAAAAACGAGAAGCTGCACGAGAAATGGAAACAAGAAATTCTCGACAATCCAACCACTTTGAGTTACGTTCTGGCTTCTTATTATTATGATTACCAGCTATTCGGAATGGAGATGCCAGTTGTTAAGGAATAAACCATAATTTATTTGTGTCTGAGCTGGATATTCGTGTATCACATTGGGAAAGTATTCGACTTTTAACAAAAACATCTGTCCGTCCTTTTACTGCCAATCTGTCCGTCCTTTTACTGCCAAATCCGAAGCGCACATTATTTTCTTTACACCCTGATAACTTTCTCTTATCTTCTGTTCCTCTGATTGCCATTCAATGCAGGGAAAAGTGTCACTTAAAAATGAAAAAATCAAAGTCCAAACTTCACAAAGTCCAAACTTTTGCTTGACTGTGAAGATTAGTGTCTCAATTTTCAAAATCAACCCCAATCTGTCGTATTTGTGTATTGAAGGCAAACATTTGAGCACGATTTTGTATGGTGAAAAAAAGGAGCAAAAGAATCAGATAAACATGTCTATAAGTTACAGACTGTAACCAACTTTGAGATTTTCTTTTCTAACCATTTTCTATTTTCTCCCATCCACTTAAAATGAGTTTTGTGACACTATTAATACTCTGCTTCCTCATCAATAATCAACTAATTAAAGCTGGATGTCTAGATGACTGGATGGGATGTTATTCGATTTGCAGGTCAAGGGTGAGTCGCAAGAGGCATAAAGCCTACCAGAAAGCGTAGGAATAGACAACGGTGAGTCTAGAGAGCATAGGAATAGGCAACGGTGAGTCGAAAGAAGCACGAAGCATACCAGAAAGCGTAGGAATAGACACCGGGTTTATCAACATGAACCTAACCACTGGTTTATCAACCAATTTCTTCTGAGCCTTGACTTTTTAGACATTCCTGCAATTTCCATTGCGTTTAACTAGTCAAATTAAGCCCAAAATCTCCTAATCGAATGCCAAAACTACTAGAAAATAAGAAAATTTTCGAGAAAAGTGAACAGGGAACATATTCCAATAAAGTTCTTCAATCAAAATCAAATCAAAAACAAATCAAATCAAATCCCTATTCTTCTGTACTGAGATTTCTCAGGGTTTCCTTCTTTTTGAATGTGTTGGCGAGCATCGTGGACGGTGTGAGTGCTCGAATTGTGACCAAAGGCAAAAAGGAAGAGGACGACGAGCGATTAACCCACGCTTGCTCAAGCGGATTTCAGAATCACAGAAACAGAAAACAAAGTCGAAAAACAAAACCAACAAAAAACAGAAATAAAGTTTCGTAAAAAAGTTCTTCAAACAGAAGAACACTCTTTTACAAAAACACTTTTTTCGAGTTTTAAATTAAAAAACTCCGAGACTCGTCGCGGAATTTGGAAGGTCAACTTTGACACAAATTTTCTCTATGTTCTTATACATGAGTATATAAAACAAATTTTACTTTTCTTTAGTCAAATTTAATGAAGATTCTATTAAAATCAACCATAAGTTGATTCAGTTCTATACCTCGAGTTATAGACGGTTCAAGTTGATCAACTTTTGCAGGTAAGTAGTTCAACTTTGACACAAATTTTCTCTATGTTCTTATACCTGAGTATACAAAACAAATTCTACTTTTCTATAACCAAATTTGATGAGGATCATTTTAAAACCAATCTCAAGTCGATTTGATTACTGAGAGTCAAGTTATAGAGTAAAATAGAAAGGTTTCCAAACTCCGAGACTCGAACTTGGACGGTCATCTTTGAGACAAATTTTCTCTATGTTCTTATACCTGAGTATACAAAACAAATTCTACTTTTCTATAACCAAATTTAATGAACATTCTATTAAAACCAACCATAAGTTGATTCAGCTTCTATACCTCGTAATAGCCCCTCCCCAATCTTGTTTGCAGTGGTCAAATCTATCCGGAAGCCACAGTTTCTCCCTATTTAATTTCACCTTCATGTTCCCATTAGAAAGCTTGAGTGCTGGGTTGGAGCTAGATTTTCATTGTAATAAGTTGAGACTGTAGCAACTACTACTCAAATCAATGATTTGTATATATCAAATAACTACACATTAGTACACATAACACGAAAAGGGCCAATAAAAAGCAACACGATATAATATATGTAATATATGAGTAGCACAGATAACATCAAGGATCCACTACATCAAGGATAACACCAAGGATCCGCTTCAAGATCAAGAACATCTACAGATAATTTAAAGGTTTCGAGACTATTGGACTCTCTCAAAACTCTGGGGAGTCGATTCCAAATTCCAAATCCAAATTCTGGGAGTTCTTATTGGAAAAGAGTTATAAACAAACTTATTGGAGGTAACTGGAATTTTTAAAACGAAAGAACCTCTCCTTGAAATAACCGTGGGATTAACTTTGAATAAATCTCGAAAAAGAGGGATAGGTTGCCTGCCCTTTACAATTTTGAAACATTCTATTAAATCCGTGACCAAGCGGCGGTGTCTAAGAGATTTAAGATCAAAAATTTTGAGTCATATAGAAAATATATGATGAATTGAACAGGATTTTCAAGATTTTCCGCTTCTAAGTTCACCGATGGAGAGTGTTATGCGAAGGGTGGTCAATAAACTGAACGTGGATGACCTTTTTTTTTAGTTTGTTAAAGCAAATGCCCGATTGGTTCAATGAATTTTCGCGTTTATCAAGCAATTTTCGAAATGCTACAAAGGATTTATTGTAAAATGAGCTATGTACAAATTTACATTAAAAAATGGACAAAAAGACAAAGAATACGAATTTCTCGAAGCATTTCCTTTAGCAAACTTCAATCTGTCCCAGTAATTTGCAGGTGTAATTGGATTCATCCCAAGGATTTCAATCTGTAGGAGCAGCAAAAAATGATGAAACAAACCGAGCAAAAGCTCAATTTTTCTCGACTCTCACCACCACATTTGGATTTGATGACTCCTATTAATTAATTAATTCAATTCTATTAATTGCTATTTGCAAATTGCCAGTTTGTAGGTTGTGAAATCTAAAAAGCTGAAAAGAAACGAAGCAAACTTGGTTTAAAGCTTACGTAATCTAACACAGGTATTGGTAACAGTTTTCCTGGAAAAGAATCAACTGTCTATTGTCAGTTCGCTTTTCGGTGCTTTGACAGTGTGCCGCTCTAATAGAGGATTTACGGTAACTGTTCCACATCACCACCATTGTCCCCGCCTCTCATAAATGCTAATTTACACTCATTTTCTTGTATAGAAACCTGCGGTAGCGTTTATTAGAGCGTTTTTAACCAAAAATAACAAACTTTTTCCTTTTACGGCCTGTTTTTTTAACGTTTTCACTAACTATTGGACTTTTTACTTTAGCAGTTAACGAAGCAATCTGAAACTGAGCTGCATTGATGAGTGAGTCTTCTTTTATATGATGGAAGACTTTTATATGATGGAACTAAGCACATTTAGTTTTGTTCGACTTTTGTTCGTCATATGGTTTTTGGTTATTTGGTCTTATGCTATAAAATCATCTTCTCTCCTAACTCTCATCCGGAACTTAAAGGACTCTTTAAGATTTCGAATCACGCCAGAAGAACTCGTAGTCACAACTTTCAGATTACCCCCTTTCAAAGCTTTCATAACCGCCAACTGTATCATTCTTTTGCTTGTCGTGTTCCTCGTATTTGGAATAAGTTACCTTGTGATATTTTTTCGTCTCTGAACTATTTTAAATCCTCAATATATAAGCTCGATCTTGTAGCTCTGTCAATTTTAAATTAGTTTTTAATGTCATATATACACGTGTCTAATTGTAGTTGTGTTTGTATATCAATTATCTTTCTTCGTCTACGCTGTTCAATCTGTTTGCATTGTCACTTTTCCTTGTCGGATAAAGTATATATATGTTGTGTCCGATTTAGATTTCCGTCCGATTTAGATTACGGTCTATATTGGACGTCCGATTTAGACTCAATCTAAATCGGACGTCTTATATAGATTGAACAATAATATAAACATGTTTAGTATATGTTCTTAAGCGCTTTCTGTAGTTTTCTGCATTTTCAAAGGTCTTTTATTGATTATTTCATAGTTGGGTTTTCTTTTCAGAAAAAGACAGTAACAGACCTTTGAAAAATGCAGAAAACTACAGAAAACGCTTAAGAACATATATTAAACATGTTTATATTATTGTTCAATCTATATAAGACGTCCGATTTAGATTGAGTCTAAATCGGACGTCCAATATAGACCGTAATCTAAATCGGACGTCCGCGATAAGTTCAATCTAAATCGGACGGAAATCTAAATCGGACACAACATATATATATGGGAGCATATGGTCGATACATTTTTCCGCAGTATCCAATTGAAATGTGGAATTCGTTCGACTCAATTACGAAGAATGAACAAATCGCAAAACTGTTCACAAGAGTCTTATAATGCAAAGCTAAAGGTTATAAATTTATTTTTTGTTGTTATTTGATAATTTAAGGGCATATTTTTTTAAAAGCTGTATCTCAATCTGTCCCAATCAAATTGTTGGAAGTTGAGGAGTTGTACGATAAATCATAATTGATGACTGGATTACAACAAAAAACGCTTTAATGCTTACATCTAACACAAGTATTGATAACAGTTTTTTTTTTTTATAATAATAATAATACTTTATTCAAACGATAAAGTGAAAGAAATCATAGAGAAATGCACAGTGATACTTAATCATACAATACATACTGAAATCAATAAGCCAATTACTTACGGCAAAGAGCCACTAGATCTAAAGCATCGATACGTTTCTTGAATATGAAAAGCGACTGAATTTCTCGTATGTCGTTTGGGAGCAAGTTCCATAATCTAGCGGCTCTAACGGGAAATGAATTTGATAAAGAGGCATTGGAAGCAAAGGGAATTTGCAAAAGGAATGAGCCACTTCTGGGCCCTGACCGCGGTTTAAATTTGAAAAAGTCTATAAACAAAGGGCTAATCTGTTTACAACGGAGGATTTTGAAAGTTTCGACTAAATCAATGACAAAGCGACGATGCTGTAAAGTTTTTAGTTCAAAAAAAGCAAGTCTCTCCTCATAAGTAAAGCTAGAATATTTAGAATAGTCAATTTTCCATAAAGCGACTTTTGTGAACCTAAAAAAACGTTGTGAACGTTTTCCTGAAAAAAAATCAACTGTCTATTGTCAGTTCGCTTTTTGGTGCTTTGACAGTGAAAAGAGCTCGGCAAGCACTCATCGATTAGTGTCAATGTCAATCTTGTCCTTGAGAAAGCATGTGATATTTTCTGCGCAAGAAAACGTGATATTTTCTTTTAAAAGAGTTATAAACTTTCAAAGTTACGCAAAATTTTAGTTTTAAAGCCATCAGCGACTATTTTTATTTCTACCCATCTTGGAAAGCTTATTGTTTCGGTTAATATTCTTGAAATTCTCTTTGAGTTTAACTTCGTTGCAAACATTTTGTTCAGATAGTGAAATGAAAATCTTACTTTTGCTAATTCTTTTGATTCGAATTGGTGGGCGTGCAATGCGAAGCACAGACGATATTTCGAGGTATCCCTTTAGCTATTGGGTTGGGGAGAATGAAATAGCGCCGAACTTTAAAGGCACTTTTTGTCCGCATAAAACCTTCTTTAAGTACACGTTTTGTTTTATCAAAAGGGTCCACGATTTCTCTACAAAATGACTTTTGAGAGGTTGCACAAAGCTTTTCTTTCATGGTGTTTATCGACGCCCAAACAAAACTAGTCAAAATGACAAAGAGTCCGACAGTTCGTAAAGAGTCGATCGTTTGAACAGTTTCTTTCACAAAAGCCTTCTTTGGTGTCTAGATAAAAAAGATAGAGCACATTCAATTACATAAGTTGTTAAATTTTCAGAAAGATCCCTTCAATCGTTTTCTCTAAGTGACAGTTTATAGATTTTATGAAAAAAAATGGATTCTTTTGAGCTGAGACGCTGTTTGAGTTCTCTTTTAAATGCCATTTTGTAGAGAATTAGTTAAGTTAAGTTCAGTTAAGTTAAATTTGTTAGGTATATCGAAAAACAAGTCGGGGATGACTTGGATTTACAATGTATGGGCAACTACGACACTTGGGCACGCTGGGCATCGTTTGGATGGGGTGATCCGTGGCCAAACAAAACTGTTTTTGGGGACAAGTTAGTTTTTGAACTTTTCATTACCCTTTCCAAAATGCTATTTCATTTGGTGGCTTTTCCCGAATGTCACAAATAGCGAACTTGTTGGATACGATCTCTCCGCGTTCATGCAGAGAGTCGAGGTGAAAAGCGAGAATACAGTAAGCGATAAAATGCGATGCTAGCGATAATGCTTTGAAAAAGAAAATCAAATGAAATTCTTCAGTCTTCAACCTTGAAAATTCGTGATCTGAAAGAAACGGATACGGGGATGTATGTTTGTGGAAACTTTTTGACAAAATTTGTCGAACAAGTGTATCTCTTTGTTAAAGGTAAATCAAAAAAAAACTCAAACTGAAACAATGAAACTGAAACAATGAAACTGAAACAATGAAACTGAAACAATGAAACTGAAACAATTAAACTGAAACAATTAAACTGAAACAATTAAACTAAAACAATTAAACTAAAACAATGAAACTGAAACAATTAAACTCAAACAATTAAACTCAAACAATTAAACTCAAACAATGAAACTCAAACAACCAAAAAAAAAAACACTTGCAGATCGAAAAATCTTCTTGAAGAGGCGTCATGATGTTGTAAATTTGACTTTGAATGACGCTCTGCGTGATGCCGACATTCCATGCCGCGCTTCTTCATCAATCACCGGTACACTTTTAATTTATTAGGTTGACTCATAAATCTTTCGACACTTTTTTCTATTTATAAATGACAAATTCACTAATTGAGCTACGGTTTGTCTCAAATCGAAAATGTTTAGCCATTTTGTTTAGCCTTTTCTAACATTTTGAGCCGATTTTAGTCTTTTTTCACCTAAATTCGAGTGGAAAAAGCTCGTTTTTCAATAAAAATTTGATAAAAAGCTCTACAAAGAAAACGACTGAATAGATTATCCTGAAAATTCGGCTATACCGACCGTAAATACTGTAATAGCACCTCCACCCCTCGTACAGCCGCGTAGTCGCAAAAGTTTTTTAGTATTTCATTTTTTTCAAAGCGCCCGCATTTTCAAAAAATGCGTCTTTGGTATCAAAAAATAGCTGAAATTCAGGGCTATTTTTTGATATCTAAGCGCGCATTGTAGCATAAATTAGTGTCGAGAAAAACTCGTTCAAAGCTAGACTACGCAACACTCCGCACCGTCATTATGGGAGTGGGGTACTATTACAGTATTTACGGTAGCTATATCTACCTAAAGTTTGGCTATACCTACCTAAATTTTTGCGCTCTATCTTCTATCTATTTTCAGCAACATAGGTTTTCTTTTGACAAAAGTGCCTGCAGGGTGTTCCAAAATTATTCGGACAAATTTCAAAGCAACATATAACATGAATATTTCTCCGAAAAGCGATTTTATAACAAAAAAATGTATTGAAGTCAAACAATTAAGTCAATAAAAGTCAATAAAAGTCAATAAAAGTCAATAAAAGTCAATAAAGAGTCATCATTTTTGCTCAAAATGTCCACCATTTGCCGCAATAAATTGCCTCAATCGCTTTGGAAAGGCGTCAACGGCTTTCTCGGTCACACTCATAGGAACTTCATCCCAAGCCTTCTTCAAAGACCGTAAAAGACTATCAATTGATGTGTGTGCCTTAGCGCAAGTTTTTGACTCCAAAATGGACCAGATAGAGTAATCGAGCGGCTTAAATTCAGAGCTATTTGAAGGCCAAACCCCTTGATGACGCATACTCATATCAACAGTGATTTGATCGGGAAAATTTTTGAGCAATCCAATCTTGTGTTTCCTTGGCTTTGTGAGATTGAGCACTGTCTTGCATGAATGTCTATTGTCGATTACCTTCAAAATGAGTCGAAGCCCAAGGTAAAAACATCATCTTTCAAGATCTTTCGATATGCAGCACGATCGACTTTGACCCACAAAAACAAGAGGTTTTTTCACCATCATAATTTGTTCCAACTCATACGTTAAACCCCTGTGGCTTTTGTTGACGGGCAATGATGTTATTCTGTAGAGTAGGGGAGGATTGAGCTCAAGTTCGATCGTTTTGGTGGTTGTTTTTTGCTCGACATCAAACCATTTCTCATCACTGAACAAGATCTGGCGATGGCGATCAGCTCAAAATCGCCGCAGAAGTCGTTTACACCGCACGAGTCGTTTGGACTTCGTCACGGCTGTCAGAAGCTGCTCAAATTTCCCTTGTAATCCAACATGCCAGCATTCTTAAGAATCCGATGAACTGAATTTTTTGAAATTTCAATGGGATTTTCCTCGTCGAGTTCTTGTTTTTTTCCAGGATTTCTTTTGTTTCGATCCAGCACTTTCTTTCGATTAGTTGTGGTGTTGGCTGATTGTTTTCGACCTTTTATCGAACGATCCTCATTAGTATCGGTAAAGTTGAAGCGTTTGATTGCATCGGAAATCGTTTGTTTTGGCTCTAGTAAAAAGCGCGAGATCTCCATCACTTTTCCCCACTTTTCCCCTTGAGTGGAAGAATAGCTTCACGAAGTTGCTTTTTTGAGCGCATGTTTCAAAATACCTGAAAAAAGAAAATATATATATATTTCATTAACCAGAAAACAAGAAAAATACAAAAAAAACTCGATTGAAATTTGTCCGGAAAATTTTTGCTTAAATTGCCTAAAGCCTAAATTGCCTAAAACGCCTAAATTGCCTCGGTTATCGCCTTTTTTGATTATCCGACTTCGAGCTCCCATAAAAACCATAGACAAAACCTTTTCCATAGACAAAACAAGAGAATTTTGTAGAAAAATAGTAAGCCTTTCTAATGGGGTTAACTGTAGGGCAACTGGTCAGCCAACTGGCCAGCCAACGGTAGGTGAATTTGTCATTTGTAAACGCTAGTAGTGTCTAAAGACTTATGGACGTAATAGTTGACTTTTGATGGCAAGAATTTAGGCAGCAAAATGAAGTTATTTGTTGACGACGAAGAATGGGTTTAATTTTGTCGGTAATGAGCATTTACTGGAGCTTCTAAAAATGTTTTCATCAGATATCGCTTCGCTGAATACTTCAATGTGCTTGTGGCAATTGGACCGAAAGGAGCTTGTTGTGCGAAGGGAAATGTGAACTGTTCCTCTCCGCTTCCACTATCGAAATTCTATGACGCAAAGTAGGCAATAAACACAAGTTTTTTGGTTATAGAAGTTTTTATTTCGTTATAGAAGAGGTTTCGATTTTTTTGTGGGCGAAAAAATTACCACAAATCAGGATAACTTTCTGCGGGCTCAATTTGATAATAAACATTTCCGCTGTCAATTCGGAAACATTAGCTCGGACAGGTTTCTTGTGCAGGTAAAATATTTATCAATCTTTCAATTTCCATCTTCATTTCATTTAAATCAAGTAAAAAAAAATTTCAAATTCAGACTCCGGCCACTCAAGTATACTATGGAGGTAAAAGTGAAGGAAAAAACAAAAACAATTCGCATTCAGGTCCTCCACACAAAGTCAACTGCACTGTGCTCGATGGAAAGACTTTCATTTTTGACACAGACATCAATTATTTACGACTTGCTTGTCCGAAATGTGACTTATTTAATGATAAAGTATGGGAAATGGTTGTTGCTTTCTTTTCAATTGCCATTTAGCTGTTCATCGATCGTGCCCTTGATCGCCTCCAGAATAGAGACATTTTGGATAATGTGTCTATCCTTTGGAAAATCTCGAACGAGTATGATGACGTGTTTTGTGATTGGTATCTTGTGCTTTGACTTGAACTGTTTTCTAGACACTTGTTCAGGATTCGACAAGCTGGCGTCTTGACTGACCCAACCGTTTTCCTGCCATTCACTTTCACCGTGCCCTCAAAACGAGCTCCCAATCAAGTGAATAATGAAAAAACATACCGTAAATACTGTAATAGTACCCCGCCCCCCCTCGTACAGTCGCGTAGTCGCAAACGTTTTTTAGTATTTCATTTTTTTCAAAGCGCCCGTATTTTCAAAAAATGCGTCTTTGGTATCAAAAAATAGCTGAAATTCAGGGCTATTTTTTGATATCTAAGCGCGCATTGTAGCTTAAACCAGTGTCGAGAAAAACTCGTTCAAAGCTAGACTACGCAACACTCCGCACCGTCATTATGGGGGCGGGGTACTATTACAGTATTTACGGTAAGTCAAACTTGTTAATGCAAATATATATTGCCAAAATCAAAAAATAACGAGTTTATCGTTGCAGGAAACTTTATTGGCACCATGGCTGTTGGGTTTATTCGTTTTGGTTGTTTCCACGGTGATTGCTTTAATTTATTGGAAATTGTCAAACGATTGGAAAAAAAAGTAATTATGTGTTAAGATTTATTTATCGAATGATAATGATAGAGATAATCGTTTGTTGCTAGAAGATTCTAAGATGAGTTCTGAGGAGGCCGGAGTGGTTGAAGTAAGTGCTCTACTATTGGGTTGGTGAATTGAAAACTGCAGGACTTTGCACTAAAATTTATTCAACATAAAACCATAAATTCATTCCAAATGATTTCCATTATTATTGACGACTTCTGCCCATTTTACAGGCAATTTGCGGATTCCTCTTTCGTAGTAGGATTTTGGTTTGTGTGTGAGACAAGTGTGAGACTCAAAAATGGAGGACTGGAGATGGAGACTGGAGATCCCAGTTTGAGCACTTTCTTCAAAAGAAACCCATTATGGTGTCAATAGAAAAGTTGTAGAGAATCAAAAATTAGGCTTATAGCCAAATTTCCAAAAAGATACACTTAGTAGTTCCGCTTAAAATGCAAGTTTTGTGAATGTGAATGTGAAAATTCGCAAATTTGGCATTTCTTGAAAACCAGTTTTTTAATCGTTCTGAAAATCTGGATATAAGCTTAATTTTTGATTCTCTACAACTTTTCCATTGACACCAAAATGGGTTTCTTTTGAAGAAAGTGCTCAAACTGTCACCTATGACAATTTGCCCGCAGTTTTCAATTCACCAACCCAATAATTCGCTCAAAGCACACTCCTTTTAGCCGTCAGAGATTCAAGTCACAGGCGCATACAAGCCGGGAAGATGGATTGGAAGAGGACGGTATGGTGATGTCTATTTGGTCGAAGATCATCAACCGTAGGTTGACAATGGCTTTCGTTCAGCTGCAAACTTTTTAGAGAAGCTGTCATAAAATACGTGAACGCAAGGACACCCGAACAGCTCAACGTTTTTCGAAGAGAACTCGAGAGTTTGGGCTTATTGAAGCACCCGAACATTGTTCGCTTGCTGCAAACGGAACTCGTCGAAGAGCTAAACAGACTGGGTCTCATTATGGAATTCTGTTCGAGAGGAGATTTGGGGAAAGGTGGGAAAGGCTCATAAATCTGCCATGAGTCAATTCAGCTTTTGAGGGTGCTGTAAGAAAAAGTATATCGTAGTGGTACTGCACAATCTAGCAACAAATGACTTTCTCTATCATTATCATTCAATATATTTTTTTTTTTTTTTTATTTTTTTTTTTTTTTTTTTTTTTTTTTTTTTTTTTTTTTTTTTTTTTTTTTTTTTTTTTTTTTTTTTTTTTTTTTTTTTTTTTTTTTTTTTTTTTTTTTTTTTTTTTTTTTTTTTTTTTTTTTTTTTTTTTTTTAATTTTTTTTTTTATTATTTTTTTTTATTTTTTTTTTTAATATATTTTTTTTTTTATAAATAAAATATTAATTTTATTATTTTTATTTAATATATATTAATTTTTTTATTTTTTTTTTTTTTATTTTTTTTTTTTTTTTTTTTTTTTTTTTTTTTTTAAAATAAAATTTTTTTTATTATTTTTTTAATTAAAAAAAAAAAAAATTATTTTTTTTTTATATTTTTTTTTTTATTTTTTTTTTTTTTATATAAAAATTTAAAAAAAAAAAAAAAAATTTAAAAAAATAAAAAAATTTTATATATTTTTTTTTAAAATTTTTTATTTATTTTTTTTTAAATTAAAATTTATTTCAATTTTTTTTTTAATTTATAAAAAAAATAATTTTTATTTTATTTTTTTTTTTTATTTTATTTTTATATTTTTTTTTTTTTTTTTTTTTTTTTTTTTTTTTTTTTTTTTTTTTTTTTTTTTTTTTTTTTATATTTTTTTTTTTTTTTTTTTTTTTTTTTTTTAATAAAAATTTTTTTTTTTTTTTTATATATTTTTTTTAAATTTTTTTTTTTTTTTTTTTTTTTTTTTTTTTTTTTTTTTTTTTTTTTTAATTTTTTTTAAAAAAAAAAATTTTTTTAAAAATTTTTTTTTAAAAAAAAATTTTTATAAAAAAATTAAATTTTAAAAAAAAAAAATTTTAATTTTTTATAAATTTTTTTTTTTTTAATTTTTTTTAATTTTTTTTTTTTTAAAATATTTTAAAAAAAAATTTAAAAAAATTTATTAATTTTTTTTTTTAATCTTTTTTATATCTTTTTTTTTTTCTTTTTTTTTTTTTTTTTTTTTTTTTTATTTTTTAAAAAATTTTTTTTAAAAAAAAAAAAAAAAAAAAAAAAAAAAATAAATTTTTTTTTTTTTTTTTTTTTTTTTTTTTTTTTTTTTTTTTTTTTTTGGAGTTTTTTTTTTTTGTGGTTTGGAAATTATTTTTTTTTTTTTTGTTTTTTTTTTTTTATTTTTTTTTTTTAATTTTTTAATTAATTTTTTTTTTTATTAAAAAAAAAGATTCAATGACTATGAGTTATCGTTCTCGCTGACTTTATATTTGGTTTTTAGACAATCACATTTTGGCTTACATCTTTTCTCCAAACGCCTCATCTGGCATGTTGAAATGTGTTCCATTGATGGTAAATGGGGTCGGATTGATGCAAACAGAGGATAAGCTGTTTCCGTCTACCCATTGATCGCACGATTCTCGACTTATATCAACGATGATATCGTCAAAATTGGCAAGGCTTATGACATTCCCCTAAAACGCAATAATCCTCAAAACTAGAAGAAAAGTTGTTTCATTTTGAACCCGAATCGACAGTTACAACTACTGCTTTGATGTTTGAATTAAAAGCTAGGAAAGCAAACTTTCCTGAGGCATGACTCGATCCCCATGAATGACAAAAGTCGGTGTCTCCTCCGTCAACGTGTACTTTCGGAGAGCTGTTTAGTAGAAAAATATTGCAAAAAGAAGGTATAAAAACTCGGATTAGCTGTTAGCAAAAAACCAGTTTGCTCCGCGTTTGCATCGATCACTTCCCATGTTATCTGTAAAATGCAGGTTACGCTAAGAAGTGGAGTCCTCACCACAAGACAATAAGCCGAAATGCTCAGTGGAAACTCTTCAACATGTTCAAAACTGAAAGTTAATTTTATAGCTTTCATGATCTTTCCCTTAAATATGAAATTAAAACGACCTGCTATTGAAGTTTACTTTTCCGCAACCAGCCGGTACTTCAAGATAACCGACAATATTGACTCTCACATTGAAAAGTTGTTGAGCTTCGACAAGAACTAGTCTTGAATCTTGAGTCTGAATATATATTGTCTTACCTTTTCTGCCGTTTTCTATTTTTACCTTAGATGTCATTTTCAATTGAAATGGCATTGTGGCAAGTTCGGCAAGATTTTCCTTCATCAGTTGTCTGTCAAATATCCATGGATAGTAATAGGGTGACATCCTCAAAGACGGGCTCACACCAGTGGGAAACGCAGCTGAACAAGTAGTAGACTAGATAAAAAGATTAAGGCTCTTTTCATGAATTGTGTTCTTTTAAAAGTTCCGTGGTGTTTTAAAAGTTTTGCGATCTTTTGCTATTTTTGTTTTTTTTTACCAAAGAGTCTTTTGGAATTGTTTTAACGTATTTTATTAAGCTCTACATGCACATTTAGACAGAATTTAAAGAACAATCGTAAGAACAACAACTTTAGCATCCCAGCAAGGCTTGGTAGGCCTTGCGTGTCCTCGGACACGCAAATGTTTGTGAAGCTCGCCTTCATATACAGCCAAGACAGACATCCTTGCCGACTTGACGATATCCTGTTACGACCACGAGGAATTCTGTGAGATGCCGCTGAACGTCGACTCCCGGAAGTCGCCACGGCACAGGCGGCTTTCTCTTTGTGAGTGGATGTTTGCCGTAAGATGTTTCCAGCCATCGAGTTACAAGTCCCGCATCTTTCCCGCCCAAAGGCCCAAAGTTTGATCTTCCTTAGTGCCTCTTCAACTCGAGCCCATAGCGGTAGAGCGACGTCATTATCGGCTTCAGCGTCCATCTCGTCCATCAATTTTTGCATTATTGCCAGTGGTTTCTTTTTGGTGGTGGCCCCACACTTGTTCGCCAATCGACAGCTAGCTTGTCGTCTTAGCTCAGTAAAGCACGAATGATCACAGGCTTCTGCGTCTGTCAGGACCAACATCTCTGCCATTTCAGTCGAACCCACAGCGTCGCCTTCTTCTTGGCTGTTGATCGTCTCGCTTTCGGGTTCATCACGATTTGTCGCGCATCTGTTTCGACCTCTTCATCCGGCTCATTGTAGTCGGAGACACCAGTGTCAAATCACAAGGGTCAATCACAAGCGCACTTTGTCGACCCAAATGACCTCACTATCCATCCACAAAAAGTATAATAAAATGTTTGAAACTTAAGCTCGATAATTACAGGTGGAAGCGACGTGGGGACGATGAAGGCTTCAATTCGCCATTTGCGTGGAACAATAAAAGATCGACCTCCAACTTATTCATTTGAATATAGGTTTAGGAGAGCAACAGAGAAGGGTCAACATTTGTTGGTTCGCATAGAGGCTGCTTACTCCCTGTGATTGTTCTTTAAATTCTGATCAAATAAACTGGTGCATGTGGAACTTAATAAAATACGTTAAAACAATTTCAAAAGACTTTTTGGTAAAAGAAAACAAAAAAGTGCAAAAGACCAGGAAACGGACTTTTTTTTGACAAAAGACCACGAAACTTTTCAAAGACCACGATTCAGGGAAAGAGCCAAGACTACTCACGCAATAAAATCGAAAAACAAAAGGCACAAGGATCGTCACTAACTATGCTGGTGGCCGTGGTTCGGGCAATCCCTCTTCAAATATTTGTTTTATTTTGACCTTTATTTGAAACGATAGCTATTTTACGAAAATTCTCAATAGTCGGTATTATTTTAGTTTTTAGCATAAAACCATTTCTCTTAATGTTAATTAAAATGCTTTTTAATTTTCAAATTTTTTGATATTGCACCTTTGAATAGATTTTGTGGGTAGTAAAATTAGACCTAAACTTTCACTGAAAACCAATAAACATACGATCCACGGTAAAGTAGATTCTCGAGATTTGGCTTTTTGCCGGGAACTGAGCCAGCATAGGTTGAAAAGACGCTGTTGTCGTTGCAGGTGAATGGTAAGGGTTCATCCTATACGGTAATTGTTGCTTTTCAAAAGATGAGAAAACTGAAGACTTCTTGACTTTTTCAATAAACTTACATTGCATTCAACTTTATCTGTTTCAACTTTAAAGCTTATAAAAAAGGCGTTGCTCCTGTGAATAGTGATTGATTAAAAGTGAAAACAAAAGGAACCAACGGAATTTGTGCACTTAAAGTGTTTGGATGTACAAGATAGATTGGAATCTCGTCAGCCGGCACAATTACTTCCATTTGTATTTCACATTTATCCACACTGCCCCCGGGAATCGCAAACGGGGATTTTGTTTCTGAACTTATCCTGTTAACTTATGCACTTTCGCACATACCATTTATCCAGTGTTGAACATGAACTGAAATAGCGAAATTGTGCGTACTTTGAGTCGCGGACATTTCAAAAGTGAGCGTCTTTATAGAGGCAATAGTGTAAGTTGAGAGGTAGGCTCCTGTGTCAATCACGGGACATAGACTCGTGAAGATTTTGCTGCAAATTGAAAAAGGCTTTTTCAAGAGTTGTCATAAGTGACAGAGTCTTGTTTCTGAACTTGTTTCTTTAAATTCAATTTGTTTCCTTTTGTTATAAACCAGAAGACAAACTTAATATTACTTGCTTTGGTGCTACACGAAATAGTTGCTTAAGATTGCTTATTCTTCTATGTATACTATTTTTTTTAAAATAAATAATTAAAAGTTCTAAAGTTTGAGGTTAAATTTTCTATCCAAAGATGAAAAATGCATCTTTGGATAGAAGATCTGTATAGAAATAGGCTAGAATATAGCAAAAAAATGTGATGGGTCGGGTTCGAATTGCGAGGTTTTTGACTCGTAAATGATGCTGGGTTTATCAAAACCTGTTGAACTTATATCCAAAAATTTAGCAAAAAGCGAAGCAAATAAACCAAAAATGTAGTTTCTGAAACTTATAATTATTTTACGAGAGGTCTCCTAGTTTTTCGGTTATGCTACATTTTTGGATATAAGTTCAACAGGTTTTGATAAACCAGGCATCATCTACAAGTCAAAAAAAAACTCGCGCCAAATTTCGTTGACCACCCTGTATACACTGACAAGCTATTAAATGTTTAACAAGGATGACAAACTAGAATCGAACAGGAGAAAAGCGTTTATGTGGACCCCCAAAGAAAACAAAAGCACGTAGAATGAAAAAAAGCAAAAAAATGAGATGGATCGGGTTCGAATTCTCGACCCCCAGCTTGCTGTACAAGCACTCAACTACTCGGTCACCGATGAATGGTTTGTATTGCAAAAAAAATCGGCTTAAAAAGAGAGGCCCAAAACTTTTATGCTAGTTTGGCCGTGACTACGCGCCATTCGGCAGCTAATTTTTTTTACATTATTGAAGTCAGCGTAAAATTCTGCGTCGAATGGTCTATATATCATCGGAAAAGGCCAGGGGACCCAATCATCCTTTCCTTGTTAGTAATCTATCAGCGGCAAAGACTGCCCTTCTCTAGTTGAGCTTTGGATGGTAGGACACCAAAGCAAAACACTTGTTAAGTATCAAATTATCCACCGTTTTCTTCTCGTGGATTCATCAATGGTTATGTTGGCATTGACGGAAAAGGGCAATTCGTCTGTGCACTGTAAAAATTTCTTGGACCGCATAATTAGCGAATAAAGTATGAACATTTTTTGCATTGTACAGGGTGGCTACAAAGTATTGCGACAAATCAAAAGGCTATACCCAAATGTTAAAAGGCTAGATAAATTAAAACTTTTTATTTTTATAATAAATAAAGTCAAACAATTAAGTTTTATAAGAAATTTTCGAAATGGCCGCCATCGTCGAGCGTCGATTCAAGCGTACAAGCGTCGATTCTTTTGCGCAGTGAGGCAACGGTGCGGCGCAAGTAAGCTGAGTCTCCATTCAGAGCTTCTTCAAGATATCCAAATTGTTGATTTTCGGTGTACACAAACGTTCTTCCAAGTATCCCCATACTGAAAAGTCCAATGGATTAAGATCTGTTAGGACTATTTGAAGGCCACTGATCCTTGGTCAGATACGATTTCAATTTGGTGTCAAGGTAAGCGTAGGTGTCAACTAAACGTTTCACTAAATAATGAATGACAATCGAATAAGTCTTAAAGAAGAAAAATGTTGAAATAGTAGTATGAGATTCAATTCGACAATGATCTTTTGATTTGTCGCAATACTTTGTAGCCACCCTATATATAATATCTGCCTGTAATGCATACTTTTGAAAATTTCGCCTTCATGCAGCCAAGTTGTGAAAAGTTGACAACGTAATCCTTCTCATCCGCAGTGGTGATCGTGATTGTCTTAAAATGTTACATTGGAGCGGAAAATTCCCAAAAATTCCACCAAAATTTGGGAATGCGGTATTTGCCAATTATTTCATCATTATTTTTTTAGATATGTAAACCGAAACAGAAGAAATGGACTTGTTTGTAGGTCTTGGTGTGGTTTTTGTTTGTCTCATTGATTTCTACAATACTGCATTTACTATAGTCTACCTCAACATTCTGCAAGCGAGTTCCATGAAAAGCGAAAGAGGGATTTTCGAGTGTCAGGGCGAATGTCGGGTTCAGCTCTCCGTTAGTAAAAGCAAACAACAACAAGAAATACAAGCGGAGAGCCATTGATTTTCAAAAAAGTTTACTAAATTTATTTTTCTTCTTGTTGGGCGTTGTTTAGTCGTGATAAGTCGAGTTTTGATACGTTTGATAAGTCGACGTTGCTTGAAAGATTATGGAAGACCTTCGCTCACAAAACCTTCAAAGTACCATGGCCTTATCAGAGAAATGATTCTCTAGAACTTTGTTGTATTTTTAAGCGCTCATGTTAAACGCAAATAGGCGATAGTTTCAACGCCGTTTCTTTTTTGCTTTTGGCTCCCAAGGCGAAACGCAACAGGTGTTCGTGGGATTTCAAAACGATACCTAGATCATTAGATTCAGAATTTTACGCTGATTCCGAATCCAGTGTCCAAATTTGCTGAATGGCTCAAAAGAAAAGACAATAAGATCGAAATTATATCATAAATCTAGTCCCACTTTTCTGGTTCACGAGCCATTGTGAAAATTTTCAAAAGTAAGGGATGCTTTCATATCCGTAAAACCCATATTCCACCATGAAGTATTATCTTGTGTACATTCTACCGTAGTCTTGTGTTTTGTCGAAGTTTAAAATGCGGGTAATTTGGCGTGTTTGAAAGGCGCAAGAGAAAGATTTTCATTCTGGCCTAGTTGTTTAGCTGGGTTAAGCTCGAGATTCCATTATTCGTTTAATCTACAGGGTGCGGCAAAAGTTCTGACACTTTTTCTGTAAGCAGTAATTTTTTGGCTTGAAAAACCCGTGAATTTCAAAAAACTAACGCCGGATTTAAAAAATTTAGGTAGTTTCACCCCAATATAGCTATTTTCATAAAAAGATTTCAACTCTCAATAACTTTTTGACGAGAATTTTTTATATCCCGGTCTGGTCGCTGAAGATTTTTGCGAAAGTTGACTTAAACTTTGCAGAATGAAATTTTTTCCAAAAACTGCTGTTACCATTTGATAGAATTGAGTTTTTTCTTGAAAACAAGCCACAAAAAAACTTTATATCTCAAAAACGAAAGATTTTCAAGCGATTCTACGAAGGGCACCCAAATCTCAACAGCAAAAAAACTGCTGTAACGACCTTTAAACATCCTCATCAAAAGGTTGTTTAGATGGCAATTTTTGTGCAAAAAAGTATATTAGGGGGTAAAAATATCTGAAATTTTATAATCCGGTGTTAGTTTTTCAAAAATCGCGGTTTTTCCAAGTCAAACTGCCCGTTTACAAAAAGTGTCGGAACTTTTGCTGCACCCTGTAGTAGTTTTAAATACTTGTTTGCTTTATAGGTCTTATAGGTAGTTAGGCCTAAGCACGTTGTCTTTTATTGCGTTCCAAATGAAAAATCCCAAACGAAAAAGTTTTAACGATAAACTCGTGTGAAAAATTTGTATATTGTCTCGAAAAAAACTGAGAATGGTTGTCGCTTGTTTCTTCATTATTGAGTAGTCGAATTTTTTATTTCTGAAGTGTAGTAGTTTTTGCTAAATGAAAATATACATTATCGAACAAAAGATTCCAATTAAAAAATGTTTGTAACAACCTGAAATGTAGGTATCCATATCGCTCTGAGTTTTGTTCCATTTCATGATAAAATTGGCGACGAATGACAGAGAATTCGGGGCGAGCCTTATGATTTTCTAACCAACAACTATTGGCCAGTTCTCTTCTGAAAACACAGAGGTTTGTTAAAGTATAAAACTAGGATATAATTTATATATATCGTGGCCGCTAGTGATTGAGTCACCATTTGCTAGCCGTTAGTGATTCAATCACCAACGGCTAGACGAAACATCTTTTTTTAATTTGTTTTAAAGTGCCACTCATTCCATCTTTTGCACAAACTTTTACTTTCTTCGGTGTTTTAATGAGTAACAATTTTTCAATCGTTTCTTTTTTTCCATTTATTTATTTCGTGTATCGTTGCAACTTCTCTAGTTATTTTTTTAGAAATGGAAAGTAAATTTGTCGATCACCTTACGCAACATCAATCTACGAAGAAATACAATTGAATTCCCGATGCCACAAAACACGCCGAAATGGTGAAAACGATCAAACGAATAACCAGTGAAGATACGAAAGAAAAAAGGACTCCTGAAGAAATCAATTTGTTTGCGCGCTTTACTTTGCAAAAGGAGAACGATCTGGAAATCCTCTACAATATTGGAAGAACCGGAGAAATGAAACGAGTGATCATCATGGAAAATCTCTCTGAACGGATGATGAAAAAACGCAAGGATTATGGACACGCTGGAAGGGACATAATATGGAAGGCACTAAGGGAATATCATGGAATATCAAAGGAGCTCATCGAGATTTTTGTCAAACTCGGTTCTGAATGTGAATTGAAGAAAGGCACGCCAAAAAAGGAGTCGTTGTCAAGCCAATCATCACCAAAAAACAAAACGAGCGGGCACAAGTGGATCTGATCGATTTGCAATCAGTACCAGATGAGGATTTCAAATTTTTAATGGTATATCAGGATCATCTGACAAAGTTTTGTTTTCTTCGAGCATTGAGGTCAAAAACCGCATTTGAGGTTGTTAATTTGGAAAGGGAAAGGAAGTTGTTAATTAATTCTTTTGTTCCTAAGCTTGTTTACTTATTATATGTTTGCAATAAATTGTTAAAAAGTGAATAAAATTTGCAAATCATAAAGCAAAAATATTAAGCAAAATTTCCTTTCATTTAGATCACATAATTTTTCGAATTTGGCAACTGAAGTTACCTCTCGAGGTGTTAAAATATTTGGTCCCACTAACCTAATTTTTTTATTTGCATGCGAGATAAATCTGCATTGTATTTCAAATGTTTCGTTTAAAAAACTTTCAATCATTATCGGCTAGCCGATGGTAATTCAATCACTAGTGGCTGAAAATCACGAGCGGCTGCAACATATGTAATCAAGGCTGGTTCCCTTACATCCATTTTGGCGCCTCTTCGGGCAATTCCAATCGATTTCCTTCCTTTAGATAGCCCAGAAACTCTTCTGCAGCCACCGATTCGAAAGGAGTTTTCCCGAAAGAAAACATTTCAAAGAGAACAACTCCAAATGACCAACTGAAATATTTTTATTTTCTTGATCAATTCTTCATTTACATCCACTCTCACTCACACATCACTCTTCTCTGAGAACCTCGCGAATTCAATCGATTCTGGTGGCATCCATTTGATCGGTAATTTCCCTCCTTGAGACTCGTAATGTTCATCCTTAATGTGACGACACAAACCGAAATCCGATAACTGAAACTGGGTGTTTTAATTAATTAACTAATAAGGCACGTAAAAGCTCTAAATGGTATTTTTCTTTAAACTTTCCTATTGGACAGAGCCCACCTTGGCCATCTTCCTCTCGGTTATCAAAACATTTCTTGCGGCCACATCTCGATGAATAAAGTTTTTACTTGATAGGTAAGCCTGATAAATTTACGATAAAAAAAGAAATATGTGTCCTCACAAGGGCATCACTAAGTTGCCAACCAATCGGCACGAAATCATCGACTTCTAAGCAATTTTCCTAAATATTTGTTTATTTAGGCTAATCCTTGAATACAAACGCTCGAATTGGCATCTCCCATTTTCCTCAAAAGACTCAATAAATCTCCCAGTTCACATAATCCAGTCACAATTAACGGAAAATTTGGATCAGTTGCACAGGCAACGAGTGACAAAATGTGTGGATGGTACTCGAGTTTCTTCATTAGCTCGATTTCTTTCAGCAATTCATTTCTGTAAGTTGGGAGTTAGTGTTAGTGGAGTTAGTGGACGCCTTCTTAAGACCGTACCTCTCTTTCGGTGTCGCGTCTTCTCTAGCCACCTTCACAGCCACATCGTTGCCATCATTTGAAAGCAAGTATGAAAGCTTTAAAAAAATTCTGTCAACATTAACTTTAAATGTTCTGTGTTTGCCCGCCTAAGCATACCCCTAGAGTGTTTAACTTGTCAATTTTGAAAGCGCAATTAGGTTAACTGAATTTCCAACAGGTTGTCCTTTTGTTTGTCTGTCTGTTGGTCATAATCCGTCAAAACCCCTTTTAATTCCAATCTTTCAGAAATTTTGCAAGTAGATAGATAGAGCGCATATTAGTGCGATAGCCCTCCAGAGGGTGGAGGTATTCAAAAATAATTGATTTTACGTGCCTATAAACTCGGCTAAGCTCCCTTTTACCTCACCCTCAAAAAAGGACAGTCTTTGGTTTTTGATTATGAAATTTTTTTAGTACTTGAATTGTTTTATTTTTACTGTTTCTTTCCGTTCAGCAAATTTTACTCTTTTTTTCCAACATTGTGAAACCAAAGGGCCCTCTTTTTCTTGACAAAGCGAAAGCTCCTTTTTGCCTGATACATTGTGTTTTTGTCTTTTACTTTACTGTTTAACTTGTGTCGAACAGCTATTTTTAGACTCCAATATTTCAAGGAAAACAATCACTGGTAGATATGTAACTAGTACCCTACTTGCAATGAAGGATATAGTTTCGTGACTGGCGCCATTCCTTGCAGGTATCCTCGATGCACGACTGCAAAAGCTCCTGCACCCAAGGTTTCCTCGAAAATTTTCAGCTTTTCGCCTGAGATTTCCCATTCGTCAATAAATCTGAAGTTCAGAAAGTAAAGGGTGGTCCATAGAAAAGTGGCTCACTTTGCGTATCTGAAAATTTTTTTGCGCTGAGCTTTGATGGCACATTGGGGTGAGAGATTTGCTTTTGTCCCACATTGGCACAATTTTTGTTTTTATAGTTTTTTCAGTTTCATTCAATGTCTTCAACAACTTTTAGAACGGATTGAACAATTGAACGGATTGAATATTCTTAAAAATCTCAGAAACAGGGCTCTTTTTGAAAAAAATAAAACACTGTAGTTTTTTTTTCGTAGCAACAGCGAACGGCAAATTTTTTGGCAGTTACTTATTTTTATTAGACAAACATTATATCCAAATTTCAGCCACATTTATGGAAGTTGAGGTCGGATCATTTTTTCGGATTACTGACAGATGAAATTTGCATATACATAGATTTTGGTCTTCACTCAATACATGATCCCGTATACTTGAAATTTTCAAAAAAAAAAACTAACTTTGTGCCAAATGTGTGGCCCCTGAGGCAAAACCAATCCTGACACTACGATGTGCCATTAAAACCCAGCGCAAAAGATTTTCAGGTACTCAAAGTGAGCCACTTTTTTTATGGAGTATATTTCCTGAGTTGCAAAAAAATTTCATTGACTAAACAAACTTTTTCTTTGTGGTGAGTGCTCTGTCCATCGCTTTTTTCAGTTGTGGAATCGAGTTAAATGTCTTCTGAATCTGGTCAGCAAATGGATTTCGATGTGATAAAAGGAGACGAATGAGCAGTCTGAAATGAAGATTGATCTTCTAAAAGCAATCCGACTGACAGAGTCACCATATTTGTTCTATTAGAATGATGTCATTGTTAGATTGACATGTCACTTTGGTTCTCAATCTTATTTTTGCGGGCCCAAAAGTTTTCGCAACAGAGCGCACATGGTGAAAAAAGTTTTAAAACTACGTTAGCACAATTCCACATTAAAACTAGATAAACATATTGAGATCAAGAAACGAAACATCCAATACCCGAGAAAAGATTATCACCTCAATTTTTCTCCATCATTGAAGAGCTATAACTCCGGGCCTTCCCATTGTCTTCAGTCTCAAAAAACGACGGTAATGAGAAGTTGGGTCTTTTTTAGAACTTTGAGACAGCAAGAAATACACAAATCGATGGTTTCTTGGGGGTAATTTTGCACGTTCTTTTCAAAAAAACACTATATGGTGTACCCCAAAATTCAAGATGGTTAGAGCACGGAATCAGCAAGAAAAACAGCGCCGAAAATGCTGTTTTTTCAAAACACTATATGGTGTACCCCAAAATGTGTCAAAAGTTAAAATAACTATAAAAAGCAAATACATCATCTTGTGAAACTCGTTCTAAACTTTCAAGATCAGTATAACACTTCTAGTGGAAAGGCTCGGAGTTATAACTCTTCAAAGATGGAGAAAAATTGGTGATAATCTTTGGTGATAATCTTTTGTCCAGTATATATCATTTCATGAAAAGGGGTTTTTGAAAGAATTTAGCTGTGTCATTCCGAAGAAAAGTTCGTATAAAGAAAAAGAACTACAGAGCTGAAATTATTGGTTCCTACTCACCCGGAACGAGCTCCATAAGCACAGCCAACAGCTGCAAGCAAAAAGAAAATTAAAAGAACCACTGTCGGCACAATCCATTTCCACGGCTTTGATTTGTTTTTTGGCGGATCGTTTCCCAATGTCCTCACTTCATCAACATGAACTAACACTAATGCTCCGCCGCCAAAAGGTGTACCATTCGGTGTCCAAATTATCTTGGCAAGTTTTTGATTTACGATATCCTGATATACTTACCAGAACACTCACCACTTTTTCATGGGTTTTGTTAAAGGTTGAAGTGTAGTCGTCGGAGGAATGCCAACTGAAAATGAAATTTGTATCTAATTTGCATTCAAAAATGCACTCGATTTAGACGCTGCCAATAGCAAGCCAAACTTTTCGAGAATAGAATTGGGGTCTGCATTGAGATGACAAGAAATCAACGATAGAAATAATGAATACCTCACTATACGTCAGCTTTCATCAATTTTTTAAATAAAAATTTTTGTTGCTCAACATTAGACATTCAAAAACCGACAAATGAAAACATGCACAAGAAATTCATTAATCGTGTGCTCACATTTCAGATGCAATAATGTCGCCTTGTTGTCCCTTGTAGTCGATTTGAAGAGTTCCATCAAAAAGGGCGACCACCTCACCACGAACCGTCAACAAAAGGCCGTCATCTGCCGTGTTTCTATTTTTCGACAAAAGCTTTTAAAGACTCACTGCAAATGACTAAACGTGACAGTGACAAATTACTAAATGTGACACTAAATGTCTCATTAATGAAAGGGTCCAAGTATCCCGGCGAATCGATCATTGCTGTGCCTTTTTGGCAGAGTTTTTGTTCATTCGTACGGTCTAAATAACTTTCCACTAACAAGTAAAATACGAAAATTGATTTTACAAATACCTAGTTGCGATGGATACTTTCTGACTTCGATGACTATTTTGGGCGAGCATCCGGGTGGAATGGTCAAGCTGTAGACACGATTCTCGAGGTATTGTTCGATGAATGGAGCCGATTCACTAAACATTTTGTGAGTCTTATACAAATTTAAAGACTTGAAGAGCTATAAACAATTAAGAATCGTAAATTTACTCAATCGTTAGCAGAAAATGCAAGTCTTTGGTGTTGTTTTGGTTCTGAAGAGACTGGATATTCAGATCGTACTGACATTTCGCATTCACCGGATGCTAGAAAATTCAATTATGCAGGTAGTTTTTGTGTTGACCTAGTTTTTACAAGGGAATGACACTCGAAGTTGAGGATTGCTTCGTGACCGAGTGCATCTGATAGAATCGGCTATGATGATTCTGAATCTGTAAAAATTAGTTGCAAACACCCACGAAATCGCAAGGAATCCGGCGTGGAAAATTCGATCAAATTTTGGACTCTTTATGGAGCCACCGCAAGGGAAATTTCGAACGACTTCGGTGGTCTAGTGGTTAGTGTGCTAGTCTACGGACCCTTTGAAGTTTCTTGGCTTGGGTTCGAATCCTCTTGTCGCCAATTCTTTTTGCTTTTTTGGAAAATTCTTTTTCTGATGTCTTTGCATTAAATATTTATGTTTTACTAGGCTGATGAAAATGAAATTTCGATCGGTATAAAATGTTCTATTTTTTAAATCTGGAAATCTTATTTGATTTTCTCTCGTATATTTGTATTCTGAATATTCACTTTATTTTTACGCTTCTTCTAAGTCAGAGCTTTCACTTTTTAATTGATATTTGCTTTAGATCATGGTGGATCTAAAGCATGTTGTGCGCGCGTGTCTTTTCTTCAATTCCAAGATGAGCAAAAACGCTACCGAATCACATCGTGATCTCCGTTCCGCTTTTGGAGAACAAGTTCTGAACGAAAGGTCCTGCCAGCTCTGGTTTGCTCAATTCCAAGAAGGCATTGAATCTCTTGAAGAGGAACCACATGGGCATCGCTCGGCAGGGATCAATAATAATGAATTGGAACAACTTGTTGAAGCCGATCCAATGCAAACAACACGAGAGCTTGCTAAACATCTCTAATGTGATCAATCAACAATTGTCTGCCATTTGGAAATAATCGGAAAAACCAATCGTAATGGACGATCGGTTCCAAATCAATTGAACACCGAGAATCTGGGAGCACGTGTTTCGATCAGTCATATCTTGCATCTCAAGTCGAAAAGAAACCATTTTTCTGGGCGTCCCACTTCTTCGAGTCGCAGTTGCCCGAGTTCTTCGAAAAGGGCATCCATACTCTGCATGGATGATGGCAAAGAGTCCTTGCTAATGATGGCGAATATCTTTTGGATTAAGGTTCTGTATTATGGTTTTTACAACATTTTGTTTATGATTCCAACGGAAGTTTCATCTGCACCAACCTAATGGTTGAAAGCTTGAAACTTGAAACCAAAAAAACTTGAAAGATTCCGTAGACTAGCACACTAACCGCTAGACCACCGCAGCCGTTTGAAAGTTCCCTTACGGTGGCTCGATAAAGAGTCCTAAATTTAATCGAATTTTCTATGCCAGATTCCTCACGATTTCGTGGGGGCTTTGCAGGTAATTTACAGATTCAAAGTCAGCATAGCCGATTCTCCGAGATGCACTCGGTCGCGAAGCGATTCTGAACTTCGAGCTGGTGTCATTCCCTTGTTAGTTCATGCAAACTATCTTTATGTAGAGACTATTTTGGTTTCATTTTATTTTTTTTGAAATCTTACTTTCCGATCAAAAATTAAAGGCAAAAGCTCTTCAAAAGAGCCTTTACCTTTAATTTAATAGTATGATTAAGTGCTTTCAAAAAAATCATGATTTGATTGTAAACGAAAACACAGACCGATTGTAGGCTTGTCAACACGTATGTTCCATTCTTTTCTTCTTGTAAAACAAGAACAATCGTGGTCAAATAGCTTGACTTATCCACTGTTACTTCACAGAACTCGTCACAGGAGAACACCTCATAAGTGTGTGATTCTTGAATTTTTCTGCTTTTTATGACAATATGACGAAACACATTCGTAATGGCTTTTTTAAGAAAATATTACCTTCAAGCAATTCAGGCACACTGATTAAAAAAGCGCTGTTGTTTTTGAGCAGATCACTTTGTGGCATCCCGTAATCCCACAGCAGCGACAAAAACGTCTTTACAGATATTTTACAACTATTTATCGTTGTTTGAGTCGATATTTCAAAACTGAAAATGATTTTTTGTTCTTAAAGATCAAAAGCTTTGTCGCAAGCCTCTTTTTGCACTCTTCATCCCATTTCGGAGGTTTTGTGACGTCAATAAGAAAAGGCACTTCAATGTCGCAGTCCTTAAAAAAGAAAAACTATTCATTTATTGAATGAATATATAGGGTGGGTCATGATTACGTCCTCGAGGGTGTCGCTTACAAAACAGATAAGCTTACAAACACGAGTTACCGCAGACGGAGAAACGCCTCCTCTCTTTATTCCACAAGGGGTGAAGATCAACAGTAACAATTATTTGGATCTCCTAAAGAATAAAGTATTGCCGTGGGCTCAAGAAAATTTTGCTGGGCGTTTCTGGACCTATCAACAAGACGGGGCACCGGCTCACAACGCCAAAATTGTTCAAGATTTCTGCAAAGCCAATTTTCCCGACTTTATCGAATTCAAAGATTGGTCAGGAAACTCCTCGGATCTTATCCGATGGATCTTATCCGATGGATCTCATCCGATGGATCTCTCAGTGTGGTATGTTTTGGAGACAAAAGCATGCTCAAAACCCCATTAGACGTTTGATTCTTTGAAGAAACCGCTCAAGAAAGCATGAGAAGATCTTGATGTGAGCTACTTGCGTACCACAATGGACGCCTTCCCCGATCGTCTCAAAGCCTGCATTGCAGCGAATAGAGATAATTTTGAGGTCCACGTAAGAAATCATGATGAAGAAAGGTTGTTCTGCACAAAGTCGATCGATCTTTCTAATTTGTGGGAGCTTCCTGAAGAACGAAAACGGGGCCGTTCCATATGTTTTTTGTTGTTAATATTTCAAAAAGTTATTCTTTTCGAAATTTACTGTTTTGGAATTTTTTTTTGGTTTTTACTTAAGGAGGACGTAATGATGGCCCCCATGTACTAAAATATTCAAATATTCTCTCACCATCGAGTCAAAACAATAAAATGAGAACTCGATCAATAGAGTACAGTTGGTACACGTTCCAAAGCAAAATGACTGGCGCGGACTTTTGACTAGAATTAAAAAAATGAACAATGAACACATTAATCTTCAAAAATTGCTGCTTTGATCTCTGGTTTAAGGAAAAGTTAGAACCTGAAATTGAATATAGATCAAGAGCACGAAAAGCCAAGGTTGGCTGAGTGTCAACGTCCAAACGATGTTCAACCGGACAAGCCGGCAATCGCCGAACAATAGCCATATATCCGGAGTCAGTTTGATTATCGTTATCTGGTGTCCAAGCTACCTAAACGCCAATTTTATTGAGAATATAAAGTTAATATAAAGTTCTTCTTCTGTAATTTAAAGTTCACTGGAAATGAAAGAACTTACGCGCACAACTTTGGCTTTTTGACTGATCACTTTTTCGGGCATCGTTGTAAAGCTGAAAAGAAATTAAACTCATAATTTTCTTGTTGTCATGTAGTAATGATTAAACAAACTTTTGGCTGAAAATGTCGTTTGTTTCATTAAACAGTGCAATTTCGGCCGTGCCTCTTGTGAATTTCGTAAACTCAATTCGCAACTCGTGCGGCTCCTGGAATATCATTTTCGCTGGTATTTTTTTTCTGTTTTTAAAAACTGCTTCTGGTTAGACTATTAGGTGCTTCATTTGTTGTATATGTCGTAGACGATTATGAATTTCAGCCGATTATGAATGAGTGGGTCTAGGAGCATCCAACCATCAAGTATTTAGTATAATTCAACGCAGAATCATTAATAATTATGTTAAATTTTTTAAATTAGAAAGATTTGATAAAAAGAAAAAAAATTATGGGGCCTCAAAGTTTCCTCTTGAACAAACCGTTTTTGCTCTAATTTTTTCTTTTATCAAACTTCAAAAAATTTAACAAATATTAATGATTCTGCGTTGATGTACAAATACTTGATGGTTGGACGCTCCTAGACCCACTCATTCATAATGGGCTGAAATTCATAATCGGCTACGGGGGTCCCGCCGATTTTGAATGAAACGTTGTAGCGCCGGCAATTTTTAACCTAAACTCACAAATTTGGTACCAATCGACGCAGAATTTAATTCGCTACAAGATGATATAATATTGTCCTCATACATTAAAAGGTTGCTCTACTAGAAAGATTTACCAAAAAATTTCATTCATAATCGGCTACGACATATAATCAATACTGCAACTGACTTGTGGTTCAAGAGCTGTCATTTCTGTCCGATCCACCCAATCATATCTATCAAATATCCATGGATAAAAAGGCTGAGATAAGGTGACCATATCATCCAAGGGAAATGCTAAGTGGATTTATTAGCTCAAAATTTGACAGGATTTTTTATTATGTTTAAACCAGCCGGATATTAGGTTGTCCCATCAAAACCCAGAGATTTTGAATTTCATTTATTTTCAACACATAGAAACAACAAAGAATCAAAATCAAATGATATATTTTCCAGATGGATTTCTAACTTTTCTCCAACGTTTGGGTAGCTTGCCAATCCCTCGTTCGTTAAAACCAAGCCGGTGCAAGCGAAAATGGTCGTTCAATCCGTCCTCGAGTTCACTCTCATCTTTGAACTTTTTACCAGGTAAGAAATCCTTTAGCCACAAGAACAAGTGATAATCAGGAAGGGGCAACGTCCGGAGAATACGGTGCATGAGGAAGGATATTCCAGTGTAGGTTGTTCTTCACAAAATCGATCGATCTTTCTGATTTGTGGGAGCTTGCGCTATCCTGAAGAACGAAACGGTAATCTTTCCATTTGTCTCCCGTTCGACAACCTCTTTTTTTCTTTTTGTTCCACTTTTTGCATATGACGTAGATAAACATCGGTGTTAAAATTTTGCCTCCGTTTGAGAAGTTACCAGAAAAGGACGCCTGACAGTAGACACACAAAATTCGTTTCTTACCGTGAATTTTCCGTTTTGGCACCGTTTTCCCTACTTATCCTTTTCTTAACCATTGCTGTTGTAACACTTGACCATCATAAAAAAACTCACATTTGGTGGTGAATGATGATGTTCGAAAGAGGAAGCCGACCATGCCGACCATGCCGACCATGCCACAAGTGGCGGCATCTCCGCTTTCTTTTGGCTTGGATTTTTTTCCGACATTTCGTATGGGATTTTCCGTTGTTTTCTCCAATTTCTTCCCACTTTTCGCAACCATCGCAACACAGTCATTCGTCCACATTAACGTCCAGCCAATTTTCGGGTTGATCCATTGAGGTTTTGACAGGAGTCGGTGCCTCAGATCGATCCACTTTCCGGGGTCGGCCGCTTCCCCTTTGATCCTCGTGTTGCCCGTCTTGAATTTGTGAAACCATTCCTGTGGAGTAATCGTTCCAACGACTCTGTTGTTATCAAATTGATTGATTTCTCGTGCTGCTTTGGTCGCTAAAATCTCTCTTAAAAGTTGGAGGAGCGGGGCGTGAATTTCTTCTCGAGTTGGCTTCATTCGATCGACTGCAATTCTCTTCTCGTGCCGATTCCTAAAAAATGTATGTTAGTGCAAGAAAGCAGAAAGTTTTAGCATGAAAAAGGAAAAAGATAAAGACAAAACGTTGTGTTGTGAACGAGTACTGAGCAAACCAAAAAACTCTGGATTTTTGTGGGACAGCCTAATAACCAGGCTTTTTTCGAAAAAATAACAAAAAATAACATTTGAGCATATTTTGACAAATGTTGGAGACAAATAATATGAACGAACTGAAGTTAAGACTAGGTTCCAGTGGCCGCTTACAACCATCAAGAGCGTAGACGAGACAAAAAGCACATCTTTGATCGGTAAACAGGGTAGTGGCTGACGACGAGGAGGTGAGCCGCATTTCCTCAGATCTACAAAACAATAAGAGTCTGCCTTTCGAGTGTTTGATTGGTTCAATGATGCTGATTTTTTAGAAAAAAAAGCGCCTAACTCAGAACCTGTATCCACTGACCTGCCTTCAACAATAAAATGGTCGGGATTTCGTTTCCGGCCCGGCTCCCCGCCAGCATACCCTTTGAAAATCGTTCTCGCATCACAATTTAGAGATTCCTGCAAGAAGAGATAAGTACTAAGAGCTTGTATCATTGGTTTTTGTGAAATATCAAGTTCTTCTTTTAAAATATTAAGCGATTGTAATTCTGGAAAGAACTACGCTGATTTTGGAGCAATCATTTGGAGACAGAGCGGAAATTTGGTTGATTGGCTTCAAAATTGGACATGGAATGGGAAGCCTAAATAGTTTCTTAAAATATCATTTGTTAAAAAGATTTGTCCGCACACGTGAAAGCTGGGGACAAGAGTGACAACGACTTCCTCTTCGACAAGAACATAGTGATACTCGGTAACGGTGACGTAGATGGGATTATCATGGTCTGTTTCCGGAATGAGCAACACTTTCTTCGTTTCTAAAACTAATACACCTTGAGTCACAGCTGCTATGCGTCTTAGAAATCCTCAAATTACTCACCGTTTACCCAATTTCTTGCTCGAAACGAGACCGCATAGATGCATGAATTCGAAACTGGAACTTCAACGACCTCAAACTCTTTTTGTTGTTTTAGAACAAAATTCTGAGTCCAGTAATAGCCACCAGCTTTGCGATCGTCAAGATTAACAGCCCATGATCTTAAAATTTGTGTTGCAATTGTTTGAATATTTGCGATCTGAGGTCATATAAGTCACATTTTGCTTACATCTTTTCTCCAAACGCTTCATCTGGCATGTTGAAATGTCTTCCATTGATGGTGAATTGGGTCGGGTTGACGCAAACCGATGAGGAGCTGTTCCCATCTAACCATTGATCGCAACTGTCGCGAGTTATATCTATGATAACATCGTCAAAGTTCTCGAGAGCAAGAATAAAGCCCTGAAAAGGTGCTGGAATTGTTTTCCAGGAAGTGTTTCACAAATTTGCACAAACACATTGAAAAACTATGGAGAAGTGCTTTTACTCTTTTTCTTGAAAGCCTTGAAACTAAAAACACAAAAATATTAATTGAAAGTGCAGCTTTTCACTTTAAAGTTAGGAAAAAGAAATAAAACTTTCTTCGGGAGAAATTCGAAATGAATGAATGACAAAAGTCGGTGTCTCCTCCGTCAACGTGTACTTTCGGAGAGCTGTGTAATAAAAAATATTACAAAAGGAATGCATAAAAACTCTTTATCGTTTTCGTTGTCAGCAAAAAGCCAATTTGCTCCGCGTTTGCATCGGTCACTTCCCATGTTATCTGTAAAATGCATATTACGCTAAGAAGTTGAGTTCTCACCACAAGACAATAAGCCGAAATGCTCAGTGGAAACTCTTCAACATGTTCAAAACTGAAAGTTAATTTTATCGCTTTCATGATCTTTCCCTTAAATATGAAATTAAAACGACCTGCTATTGAAGCTCTCTTTTTCACCTTGAACATCACCGACAATCTTGACTCTCACATTGAAAAGTTGTTGAGCTTCCACGAGAAGATTTACCTTTAAGTATAATGTATTTAAGTCTTCTGCCTTTTTGCTGCATACATTATTTTGCGAATTTGCTTGCAATGAAATTGTGACAAGCTTAGCAATGTTTTCCTTCATGAGCGGCCGATCGAATATCCATGGATAGTAGTAGGGAGTCCACGCCAAAAACGAATCCAAACTCAAGCTTTTGGGGTCTGAAGGACCAACGTCTTTTAGAGGATTGACGGTAAAAAAAAGCTTACCAATTCGAATATAAGCACAAAAGGCACACGAATCGGCACTGAGTACGGAGAGGGCCGTGGTCCGTAAATAAAGACCGCGAACCATACTTGAAAATAATGTTCATTGTTTTCATTGTGTAATATTTCGTTGAGAAGCGTTGCCTGGCAACTATGAATCGTCTAGATTTTTGATTTATTGTTGTTGTTTGAGACAATCTCAATTTTCCTTAAATGGGTTCATTTTTAAAAACGCTAACACGTTTTCTATGTACAACCCTCATCTAAATATGTGAATGGAAATAGTTTTTGTGCTAGCTAAAGTTTGAGAAAAAAAAACACTGGTTCCTTACACAAAAAACACAAAAAATACTGTAAATTATTAGAATTACCTGCCGCTTCCAAGTCGATTCTCCAGATTTTGGTCTGTACCATCGGACGAGCCTGCATAGTACGAAAAGACGCTAGTGCCGTTACATGTAATAGCCACGAAGTCTTGCTATACAGTTGCTGTTAGTTTTTCAAATGGGACAAACCACAAGGGAAAAATACTGGATTGTAATTAGGCCTAAAAATTAGTGGTTCTTTCCCTGAATCGTGGTCTTTTGAAAGTTATTTGATCAGAGGTTTATTTGATCAGAATTCGTAAGAACGATTGTAAGAACAACAATTTCGGCATCCCAGCAAAACTCAAGGCTTGGTACGCCTTGCGTGTCCTCGGACACGCAAATGTTTGGGAAGCTTGCCTTCAGTTACAGCCAAAACAGATATCCTGTTGAGACCACGAGGAATTCTGTGAGATGCCGCTCGACGTCGACTCCCGGAAGTCGCCACGGCACAGGCGGCTTTCTCTTTGTGAGTGGATGTTTGCCCCAAGATGTTTCCAGCCATCGAGTTACAAGTCCCGCAACTTTCCCGCCCAAAGGCCCAAAGTTTGATCTTCCTATAGTGGTTCTTCAACTCGAGCCCATAGCGGTAGAGCGACGTCATTATCGGCTTCAGCGTCCATCTCGTCCATCAATTTTTGCATTATTGCCAGTACTTTCTTTTTGGTGGTGGCCCCACACCTGTTCGCCAATCGACAGCTAGCGCGCCGTCTTAGCTCAGTAAAGCACAAATCATCACAGGCTTCTGCGTCTGTCAGGACCAACATCTCTGCCATTTCAGTCGGACCCTCAGCGTCGCCTTCCTCTTGTCTGTTGGTCGTCTCGCTTTCGAGTCTCGTCACGATTTGTGGCGAATCTCTTTCGACCTCTTCATCTGACTCATTGTAGTCGGAGTCACCAGTCTGATTGGAAGGAGGATTGGAACCAAAGACATCTTTTGCATATGCAGCCAATATCATGCTCAATGTCTCAACATTTGTTGGTTCGCATAGAGGCTGCTTATCACCTTCCCTAGGATTGTTCTTTAAATTCTTATCAAATAAACTGGTGCATGTGGAACTTAATAAAATACGTTGAAACAATTTCAAAAGAGTTTTAGGTAAAAAGAAAACAAAAAATTGCGAAAGACCACAAAACGGACGTTTTTTTGTCAAAAGACCATGAAACTTTCAAAAGACGACGAAACTTTAATTTAAAGTTTTTCATTGGGTTTGCTGCAACAGCTCCTTATTTTCAAATAAGGTTACGAAAATGCTGTAAATATCTTCGAGTCTTACAGTTGACCAAAAACGAACTATGTTTATCCGCAATATAGAGGAATTTTTGCACAGCTCTGATTGTAACTCACATTGCACATAGCTTGTTGGGTTTGTGCGAGGATACTCGTGAAGAGGCCGGTGTTCCTATGAATATTGAGTGTTTCAAAGTGAAAACGAAATGAGCAAACTGAATTTGCTTGCGTGTCGTCTTTGGGTGTTCAACATAAGTGAAAAACTCATCACTGCTGACCATCACAGTCAGTGTCTGTCCACTGTCGCAGACGAAGTCGCCCAATTCGGGTCCCGGAATCAACAACAGGGATTTTGTTTCTGAACTTATTGCTGTAAATTATTGCTGACCTAGTTCATCTACCACTCGGCCTATGTTGAAAATGAACTGAAATAGCAAAATCGTATTCGCTTCCCTTTCTGGTCATGGTAAAAGTAAACGTCTTTTGATTGACAATAGTGAAAGTTTGAAGGAAGACTGCCCTAATATCCGAGCGACAGCGATCCGGTTCAACTTCGCTATAAATTTCCAAAGTTTCACGAAAGAAATTGTCATAGATATAGAGTTGGTTTACCGTTTTCTTTCCTTGGATTCATCATTGGTTATGTTGGCGTTGACGGTAAACGGTAGCGTGTCAGTGCACTGTAAATGGGAAATTGATTTGAACAGCATAATTATCAATAAATTATAGATTATAGTACTACATGTCATGCATCATATACAAAATCTGCCTCTAATGTATACTTTTGAAATCATCTCCTTCGTGCAGCCAAGTTGTGAATAGTTGACGACGAAATCCTTCTCGTCCGCGGTCTTTATCGTGATTGTCTTAAAATTAATTTGAGAGTTAAGGTGGAGGAAAGAATCTACCTAAATTTGCCAATCTTGTCAATCAATGTCAATCAACGTCAATCAATGTCAATCAAATTTTCTCATCACTGTATGGTGTCCCAAAATTACGCGAACCAATAAAACTCATGGTTTAAAAACCCTTTCATCGTGAAAACAAAATTTAACATTAACAAATTTACTTTCTAGATTCATTTCAACAATTCGGTTTATTTCTTCTCGAAAATATCTCTATGGGCGGCTGCACAAGCGGCGAGACGTTTTGAAAAGCCGTCGATGGTGACCAAGAGATACGCAGGACCAAGTTCAGCCCAAGCTTTCTTTCTGGAGTGATTTCTTCAGTGAATCAATACTTGAATGTGCTTTTGAGGAGGCTTTTGCTTCGAGGACACTCCAGACTGAGTAGTCCATCAGATTTAAATGGAGACTTGATGGTGACTAGGCTTAAAGCTGATGAAATCCGGGAATTTTCGTTCGCACCAGTCTTGGACTGGGCTTTATGGGCACGCCCAGGCGGGTTTTAATGAGTAATAACATTATTCAAAGTCAAAATTTGAATAATAAATAAAAGTAGATAGTCAACCCAAAAGCGCTTAACAGCAAAGCGCGGCAAATGGAGGTTTGTTCGGGTAATTTTGGGGAAACCTATATTTTTAGTTATGCAACAAGTGACTAGGAGTATTTTTTGGAAGTCCTGTATCTTCCGCATTTCTAAAATAAGAAGCAGATCCCTTTCGAAGCAGATCATTCAATCAAAAAGTTCAAACGTGACCTCTAGCTGTTTAGAATTTTCCAAATTAACTATACTCTAGCATAAAATGTGATTTTCAATAAATCCCATCATAAAAACCATCAATCTCAACGCGTTAATGCAAATATTCAAGTGTCTTTACGTGTTTTTTAAAAGTTTAAAGTGACAAGAAGCAGTTAGTAAGGAAATAAAGCCAAATCAAATTTGGACCGCGCGTACAGAGTTTTGGACTCGTTTTAGACTTTAGTTTTAGACTTTACAAAAAGCTAACTTCAAATTCGGATTTTTCCGCTACTGTAAGAAGGAATACGGTAGATTTCAATTTAGATTTTTAAATTTTATAGCTATTTTTGAGTGTTGCAAAGATTGTCTCTTATGTAGCACCTTGACGTTCTTCAAGCGAGCTCCATGAAAAGCAAACGATGGATTCTCGGGTGTCAGGGTGAACGTCGGGTTCAGCTCTCCATCAATTAAAGGCAACGATAAAAAGAAATACAAGTAGAAAGCCATGATTTCACACAAAAAAATGAAATTTACACTTTGTGGTTTCTCTTTTTTCCGTGCTGTAATGACTGCTATTACACCTTTGCTTAGTTATTTTGGGAAGGATCGGTGCTTATGCTTTTCACACAACTAAACTCTTGGGAACTCGTGGCAGCCTAAGCCTTGCATAAATCTTACAAAGACCTGTTATCAGAAACCATCACACGTTGCAAAAAAAAAGTAAAAAAACTCTTTAGAAAAGATTTAAGAAACCCATAAAACAGAAAAGAAAATTCAAAAAGAAATGTATGAGTGGGATAGTCAAAAAACAAAAAAAGACATTTTGCACCTTTCAAGCTTCAGGTTTACTTTAAGTTTTAACTTTTGACAGAGAATAATCACAAATGTGAAATTATTAGCTTGGTGCATAAGTCTTTACAATTTTTTTCCAAATCTCTTTTAAAAATAATGCCGCCGCCAACAAAATTTCTATTTGAACTATTAAAAAGGGTAATTGTTTCTCTGCAAAATGGCTTTTTTGTAGTTCCTGGAAGTAGTTGTTTTTGTGCATTTTCAAAGACACAGAAGGTCATGAGCCTGCTAGAAGTCAGAGCCAGGCTTCTGGAACAAGTCTTGGGTTTTGTGGATATATTTTTGGATTTGGAGGTGTTTCTGGCTTTTCGGCATACTCCTGTAAACCAGAAAAACTAGACGAAATATTTATGCTTTTCTAGTAGCAAATTTTGGATAAAATTTAGCAAAAAATAATATTTAGACACAATTAATTATCAAACTAAAACAATCAAATTTTGAAGACGCATGGTATAAAATAATTAAATTAAACGAATGAAATCTGAATAAAGAGAATTAAGGTGCAGAAAAAGTGCAATTTATGGCCCAATGATCACTTGGGAAGCAATCAACGGTTTGAAGTCGTTCACGACCTTCCAATTTGAAGCTCACAATTTGTAGAGGACCCGTCCAAAGAACCTTAAAAGAATGATGAAATCGCATTCTGGTCACGTTGACAACATTTTTAAGGCTATGTTTTTGATGTTTATTGCAAAAAGTTGAGATTGCTATGAGACTTTTCTGAAAACCCGGTATTTATGATAAAAAAGTGTATTTCAGCAACTGTTTTCTAAAAAAATTTTTTGTTATTTTCTATAAATAAACTATTGGGTTGGTGAATTGAAAACTGCCGGATTTTGAACTAAAATTTATTCAACAAAAAACCATCAATTCATCTGAAATAATTTCCATTATTATTGACGACTTCTGCCCATTTTACAGGCAATTTGCGGGTTCCTCTTTCGTAGTAGGATTTTGGTTTGTGTGTGAGACAAGTGTGAGACTCAAAAATGGAGGACTGGAGAGGAGGATGGAGGACTCCCAGTTTGAGCACTTTCTTCAAAAGAAACCCATTTTGGTGTCAATAGAAAAGTTGTAGAGAATCAAAAATTAGGCTTATTTTCAAAAACTAGTAGTTTCGCTTAAAATGCAAGTTTTGTGAAAATTCGTAAATTTCGCATTTCTTTAAAACCAGTTTTTGAATCATCCTGAAAATTTGGATATGCACTTCATTTTTGATTCTCTACAACTTTTCCATTGACCCCAAAATTGGTTTCCTTTGAAGAAAGTGCTCAAACTGTCACATATGACAATAGCCGGCAGTTTTCAATTCACCAACCCAATACAATGTTATAAATAACCTACGATGATCTTGATAGATTAAACTACATGAAAAATCGCAAACTAACCCGATCGAATCGGATTTGCGCTTGGCCAGCAAATTTGTTGTGGTTCTTCTGCGTATCCCATGTGAACCTTTCGTCTTTCGGTGATCCGGCCTCCAAAAAAGCATCCTTAACACCGGCGGGAAGCTCTGGCATCTGACAATTAGAGTTCAAATTGTTAAAAAATTCCCAATGCTTGCACCTCTTTCTCCCGAATATTGAGATCACCACCGAAGAAAACGACAGCATCTGGATTGTTTTCAGCGATTTCCTTCATCTTTTGCAAGCAATAATCAAGTTGTGCCTGTAAACATCTATCCTGAGAATTTCGAATTTAAAAAAATCAATACCTTTCGTTCTTTCTTGTTTTCACCCAAACTTTCAAGATGTGTGGTCAAAAGGAAGACTTTCATGGAGCCAAGCTCACCCTAAAATGTATAGCCTTTTCTGTTAAAGGTAGGGGCAGCATTGGAGCAGTCAAAAGATCATGAAGTTTAAGTTTATCAAGTTTGCTTTGATTAGATCTTACGAATGCAGTATATAGTCGTTTCTCATTTATACAGGGTGTCCGAAAAAAAAAGTGGTCATCGCTTTGAGCCTGGAAAAATTTTCTCGTTGATTTTTCAAGGCTCATCGTGGTGTCAGAATGTCAGAATTGGTTTTGCTTCTGGCGTCACACAACAAGATGAAATTGATTTTTTGATGATTTTGTGAATGGGGGTCATGCATGGCCGGAGAGCTCAAAATCCACGTAAGGTATACAGGAAAAACACACCTTTGAATTCCTCTATTTATCAAAACAAAAAGTAGAAAGATTTGTGGTGAAATAGAGGAATTCAAAAGGGTGTTTTTCATGTATACCTTACGTGGATTTTGAGCTCCCCGGCCATGCATGACCCCCATTCACAAAATCATCAAAAAATCAACTTCATCTTGTTGTGTGACGTAAATCCACGATGAGCCCTGAAAAATCAACGAGAAAATTTTTCCAGACTCAAAGCGATGACCACTTTTTTTTCGGACACCCTGTATGTAATTCACCAAAAATGCGAAAAATGAATGGTTCCTGTTTCAGTACAACTGAAAAACCTGCCTCAATGGTTTGTAGAGTCCTGGCCATTTTTGAGTTTTCGAAGGCATGCACGTTGTGTTTCTAAAGTTACTATTTAGCCAAACCATAAGCCCACTTTTACCAAAAAATTGAAAGGTTTTTTGACGAGAATGGCTGTAAAATATCGACATGAGCGATCAGAGTAAAAGATTTCGTAGCTTTCCTGATAGCTTTGTTCAAAAATTTTTTTTAACAATGAAAACTCTGAGTCGTTCAAGCGAACCAATGACACTTCTGACCACTTCTTGAAGAAAGATAACGTTTGGCTCGATGCTAATATTCAATTTAAAAATTTCAATTAATCAAATTTACTTTTTCAAAACGTTGTAAACGGCATCCATTCTTGGTGCCAAATCGTCACCCAAACCGTCGATATTCCAGCTCACCAATGAGAGAACAGACATCAGAAAATAATTTCTAAAAGAAGGAATAAATTTTGTAAAAGGATTCGTCTTGTTGAAAAAATCTTAGAATTCCTGCATCAAAAGTTTTCGGCAGAATCTCTGATCCGAAATTATTAAAAAAAGTTTTAAAAGAAGAAAAGCGACATAAATATAGAATACAACTGAGTGAATGACATATATGCAGTCAATTGAAAAAAAATATCTTTCGCAAGCATCACCCTGTTGGCTAAGTAAAGCCTTATCAGTAATCAGCCCAAACTTTTTGACGCTTTCAGTGAATCCATGCTTGAATGTGCTTTTTAGCAGGCTTTTGCTTCGAGAACACTCCAGACTGAGTAATCCATCAGATTTAAATAGAAACTTGCTGGTGACTAGGCTTAAAGCTGATGAAATCCGGGAAGTTTCGTTCGCACCAGTCTTGGACGGGGTTTATGGGCACGTGCAGGCGGGTTTTAATGAGTAAATAACATTCTTCAAAGTCAAAATTTGAATAATAAACAAAAAGTAGCTTTTTTTACTTAATTAATGAATTTCGATACGTTTCCTGCGTAATTTACATCGTTTAAATTAAATTAAATGAACTGAATCGAATAAAACAACCTTGCAAATGAGATAGGAGTCCATATTTTCGTTGAAATGGTCTGCAAAAATGAATCTTGTTCAGATTAAAATTAAATTATTATATAAAGCGAACTAAAAGTTTTGACTGTAAAGGAAAAAATGTTTATGTTCAAAACGAATCAATACGGCGGAAAAAGAGAAAAGCCATTGCGCCTTTTCGAGAGATTGGAGAAGTAAAAGAGTGGGAAAAGAAAAGGCCTTTTTACTATCTTAATAAACAAACACAAAATGAATGACAGCAATAAAAGATAAGCTTTAGTCGGCATTATCTGTTTTTTTTTGAAACTCTTGAACCCTAAGAAACTTCAATTAAAATCAGCATACAGAATGTAAATCAATTAATCAATTAATCAAATAATCAATCAATACTGCCGAAAGCGCTCGAAAAATGATAATTGTCCCTGATTCTGCTGATCAGATCAATAGAAATTTAAATGTTCCGCCCGAATCCGAACTAAACCCTTGACCACGCCACTTTCCGTGTCTATATCTTCAAAACTATTGAGCTGATTTTGCTGATTTTCGTGTCATTTTGTAGAGCAAAACTTCGGACGCTCGCTCGTTCGGCTTCGGTCTAGTGTTGTGAATGTTTGTGTGGAAGGATAAGCTTCACTACGGACATGTGCAAACTGGTTTGCTAAATTCCGTTCTGGGGGTAAATCCTCGAAGACAAAGGTCATCCAGCAGTCCAACGAAGTCGACAATCTTTATCATTCCTTCTTTTTCTTTTTTCTTTTTTCTCTTCTTCTCGTTTTCCAGCCAAGTTGCTCGAAATTTTTCAAACCAACAAAAAGGCTTTCTTCCTGCGAAATAGCAAAAAGATTTATCAGTTGATTATGCAATAATACTCGAAGATTGCGAACACTTGGGTTGAAACCGTATTAGGGATGCCACATGATTTAACGGACACCCAGAAATTGCAACGTGTCATAAATCAGTGCCGCTCATCTTTCTCGATACGAGCGCATTAAGCAAACTTTTTTTATCCCGCATACGGGAGATGAAAAATAGATTCTAACTGTCAACTTTTAGAGAAAACGCCAATAGATTGCTGAGGGGGTGAAGCACGAACATAACGTCAAGCCAAATGTGCATGAGAAAAAGTTTATGCGATTGTCAAACTTCCGCTTCTTCGTTGCTGGTGCATTTGCTGGTCAGGAGAAATTAACCAATTTCTTTGTTACCGTCTGCGCCCGTCAACGCTTTGATTTTTTCCGCCGCTTCAGCCAATTCGAACGCCTTCGAACGCCTTGGATCCTCGTCCACCAGCAGAGTATTTCTTTCCTTGAGACCTCAGATTGCTTCTTTAATTTCTGCTCTCCATCGTTTTCCATCAGCTTTCTATTTACTTTCGTGTGGATTTCGGTTTGAGCTTTTGATGGGCCACCTTTGCCAATAGTTTTGCGGCCAGCTTTGTTCCAGATGCGGTTCCAAGCGAGCCAGTCCTTGCGAGCATTTTCTTTTGTTTTGCTTGTAGTTTTAAATACAAAAACATTTTTCTAACTATATCTCATGCTTCTACTATAACAAAAAAATGAAAAAGTGAGGAGGATTGCCTTTGATATGAAACAACCTAATACTAGCAACCCCCGGTTGTTAACCTAGAAAAACGTCATGAAAATCGAAAAAGATATCAAAAAACGAAATCTTAACGATAAGCTCATAAGTGTCGCCACGAAAAAAAACAGAATAGTTTTTTTGCAATTGCATAATTGTTTTTCAAAAAAAACATTCTGCACTTTGTCTGTCTTTGCTTGCAAAGATTGGTGAAGATTAACATTGGTGCTTTTAAAGTATCTTATAATTTGAATCGTTTTTAGTGGGCTGCCTTTACTCAGTTTACTCATACCTGTATATGCAGAAAGCTGCATCGTGAAGTTTTTGGACGACCAAATATCAGTAGTCAACGCGATTTTGTCGGCTTCTTGCAGTGCCTCCTTTTTCTAGTACAATAAATTAGGATAGCAGTTGGGTAAAAAACTTACATTTGCTTCAACATTCGCATTCAGTAGATCAATCGATTCCATTAATCTTTTTCTTGTCAAAACATATCCCGGTTGTGTGATTTCCAAAGCTGAGCGAAAACTCGGAGAATCTATCTAAGTTATATTGAATATATGTTATATCCGATTTAGACTCAACAATAGCTTTAACAATTGCTGCGTTGGCACATATTTTTTGACACCAAAAACAAGATCAAAAACAATAGCTGCACCAAAATCCCGTAACTTTTGCCGAATTTAGCCATTTTAAAGTAAAAATATACTAGGTTTTAGTTTTATCATTGAATCATTGATCATTGATATCATTGATGTCCGTTTCACAAGACTCTTCTGCTTTGTCAAAATGCTTTGTTAAAATGTTATACATTTTAGTAATCGTTAATTTTTGATTGATTCAACGAAAATTCCCGCACTCAGAATCGGATATCCGATTTATATTAAATCTAAATCGGATATAACATATATATAGGGTTATCCATAAGTTTTGCGGTTTTAAAATCTATGATTCCTTAATGCAATACATAAATCAAACTAACCACAGAAAAAGCCACGTTGTTGGCTGAAAAGACTAAGACTCGCAATTCTTGAAGCCGACAATACTGCCTTTGGCTCAAAAAACATTTTATTGCCACCTCTTTGTTAGAAGTGAGCTAAAAAACAGCTATGTTAATAACACTAATCAACAACATACTAATGTCCCCAATTTATTTGCATGATATCTCTCCCAGTGTCTCTTTGGATTGCTGGTCGACGATTGATATTTGTACGTCGTTTCGCAGTAGTTACATCTTTCCATTTCGCCTTCTCGCGTGAAATGATGCCAATACTCGGATTCCACATTGTGTCCCATTTTCTAAAAAAAAATGCTGGAGTACGTAAGTTTGAACAGTTTATACCTATGGCAAAACAAATGAAAGTAAACAAACAAAATGGTGCAAGCAAAGACAGACAAAGTGCAGAATGTTTTTTTTGAAAAACAATTATGCAATTGCAAAAAAACTATTCTGTTTTTTTTCGTGGCGACACTTATGAGCTTATCGTTAAGATTTCGTTTTTTGATATCTTTTTCGATTTTCATGACGTTTTTCTAGGTTAACAACCGGGGGTTGCTAGTATTAGGTTGTTTCATATCAAAGGCAATCCTCCTCACTTTTTCATTTTTTTGTTATAGTAGAAGCATGAGATATAGTTAGAAAAATGTTTTTGTATTTAAAACTACAAGCAAAACAAAAGAAAATGCTCGCAAGGACTGGCTCGCTTGGAACCGCATCTGGAACAAAGCTGGCCGCAAAACTATTGGCAAAGGTGGCCCATCAAAAGCTCAAACCGAAATCCACACGAAAGTAAATAGAAAGCTGATGGAAAACGATGGAGAGCAGAAATTAAAGAAGCAATCTGAGGTCTCAAGGAAAGAAATACTCTGCTGGTGGACGAGGATCCAAGGCGTTCGAAGGCGTTCGAATTGGCTGAAGCGGCGGAAAAAATCAAAGCGTTGACGGGCGCAGACGGTAACAAAGAAATTGGTTAATTTCTCCTGACCAGCAAATGCACCAGCAACGAAGAAGCGGAAGTTTGACAATCGCATAAACTTTTTCTCATGCACATTTGGCTTGACGTTATGTTCGTGCTTCACCCCCTCAGCAATCTATTGGCGTTTTCTCTAAAAGTTGACAGTTAGAATCTATTTTTCATCTCCCGTATGCGGGATAAAAAAAGTTTGCTTAATGCGCTCGTATCGAGAAAGATGAGCGGCACTGATTTATGACACGTTGCAATTTCTGGGTGTCCGTTAAATCATGTGGCATCCCTAATACGGTTTCAACCCAAGTGTTCGCAATCTTCGAGTATTATTGCATAATCAACTGATAAATCTTTTGCTATTTCGCAGGAAGAAAGCCTTTTGTTGGTTTGAAAAATTTCGAGCAACTTGGCTGGAAAACGAGAAGAAGAGAAAAAAGAAAAAAGAAAAAGAAGGAATGATAAAGATTGTCGACTTCGTTGGACTGCTGGATGACCTTTGTCTTCGAGGATTTACCCCCAGAACGGAATTTAGCAAACCAGTTTGCACATGTCCGTAGTGAAGCTTATCCTTCCACACAAACATTCACAACACTAGACCGAAGCCGAACGAGCGAGCGTCCGAAGTTTTGCTCTACAAAATGACACGAAAATCAGCAAAATCAGCTCAATAGTTTTGAAGATATAGACACGGAAAGTGGCGTGGTCAAGGGTTTAGTTCGGATTCGGGCGGAACATTTAAATTTCTATTGATCTGATCAGCAGAATCAGGGACAATTATCATTTTTCGAGCGCTTTCGGCAGTATTGATTGATTATTTGATTAATTGATTAATTGATTTACATTCTGTATGCTGATTTTAATTGAAGTTTCTTAGGGTTCAAGAGTTTCAAAAAAAAACAGATAATGCCGACTAAAGCTTATCTTTTATTGCTGTCATTCATTTTGTGTTTGTTTATTAAGATAGTAAAAAAGGCCTTTTCTTTTCCCACTCTTTTACTTCTCCAATCTCTCGAAAAGGCGCAATGGCTTTTCTCTTTTCCGCCGTATTGATTCGTTTTGAACATAAACATTTTTTCCTTTACAGTCAAAACTTTTAGTTCGCTTTATATAATAATTTAATTTTAATCTGAACAAGATTCATTTTTGCAGACCATTTCAACGAAAATATGGACTCCTATCTCATTTGCAAGGTTGTTTTATTCGATTCAGTTCATTTAATTTAATTTAAACGATGTAAATTACGCAGGAAACGTATCGAAATTCATTAATTAAGTAAAAAAAGCTACTTTTTGTTTATTATTCAAATTTTGACTTTGAAGAATGTTATTTACTCATTAAAACCCGCCTGCACGTGCCCATAAACCCCGTCCAAGACTGGTGCGAACGAAACTTCCCGGATTTCATCAGCTTTAAGCCTAGTCACCAGCAAGTTTCTATTTAAATCTGATGGATTACTCAGTCTGGAGTGTTCTCGAAGCAAAAGCCTGCTAAAAAGCACATTCAAGCATGGATTCACTGAAAGCGTCAAAAAGTTTGGGCTGATTACTGATAAGGCTTTACTTAGCCAACAGGGTGATGCTTGTGAAAGATATTTTTTCAATTGGCTGCATATATTCATTCACATAGTTGCATTCTATATTTATGTCGCTTTTCTTCTTTTAAAACTTTTTTTAATAATTTCGGATCAGAGATTCTGCCGAAAACTTTTGATGCAGGAATTCTAAGATTTTTTCAACAAGACG